TTCATACACACATATAACACACAGTATATATTCCCATACTTGTGTTCACACACACTGCTTGCTCACATTCACAATTCATATACTCATAAAATGCTCACACCTATAGTCAACACACCACCTACTCTCACATTCATACACTCGTAAAACTCACACAATCTCATTTGCATACTATGTTTACACACATTCAATTCACACTCATACACATGTACATTCACCACACCCAGGAGAAGACTCTGAGGTCCCACTGACTGGCTGAGCATCCCCTCAGCCATCATGGCCCACATAGAGCAGATCCATGTCTCCTCAGATGCGGGCCACAACTTCCATCCCCATTATCTTCAGGACCACAACTCACACCCCCACATCTCTTGGTGGGCTCTGGTCAGGCTGTGTGGTTACTCCAGCCCAACCTCCTTCCCATATTCCATGTCTGAATTCTCACACCATTATCAAAGCAGGCTCAACAGTCTTCAAAACATCCAGGAAGGGTCAATGGAGGATACAGCTTTTCCAGAGCCCACAGTTGCTCCTCCCTAGTGTGGAAGGAAAGACAGGCAGGGGCACAGCCCAGCATCTTGCAGACTCCTGGATATACATTCTGGCTTCCCAGGCCCTCAGGAGTCTGCCTTCCACCAGGGGTTAGCCAGCTAATGATAGGCTCCAGGCCACCAGCAGTGAAGTGTGCAAGAGGTGGTGAGCCAATAAATATTAAATCGTTCAAATGGGCTGTGTCAGGAGGAAGATGACCGATGCTCTGGATCTGGGTTTGTGTTTCTGATCTTTGTGTCCCACTTTGGGGAGCCATTTGTCAGTATAAGTCCTTGCTCCCTGCCTTTGGAGCCCCCTTAGGTGAGAGTAGCACCCTGTTTTTCTGAGAGTGGTCACTTTCCCTCCTGTCCTTTCTTGCCCTTGCTGAGATTCCAGGTCCACTGAAGTCCAGCTCCCCTTGGGACTTCCACCTTCTGGGGTTTTGCTCACTAGGTGACATGGGCAGAAGTTTTGTGTCTTTTTCTTCTCCATCTCGCTGAGATGTTTAAAATGAAGCCATCTTCCTTGGTTCACCTGGTGAAACCACAAACAGTCAAGTCTCCCAATTCCTGATTGAGCAGATGGTACATATTTAACTGTGTTCCCCTAAAATTCTTATATTGGAGTCCTAACCCCTGCCCAACCTCAGAATGTGATCTATGAAGACAGGGTCTTCATAGAGGACTTCAATTTAAAAATGAGACCATTCAGGTGGGACCTAAATCTAGTGGATCCTGCCTTTACCAGAATGGAATTTGTAACAAGCACATATACTCAGATGTACACCCCTGCACACACACACATATGCACGCCTACAGAGAAGATGTTGTCAGAAACACAAGGAGAGCAATCTCAGAAGGAACCAACCCACTGTGACACCTAATCTGGGGTTCCAGCCTCCTGAACTTCAAGCTTTGACTCCTGTGGCTTGGGGCACTGTCTAAAGTCCTTCCCTAGGGCTGCATGGGAGACAAAAGCAGGCCCAAGGGTGGAAAACCAGACACAGAGCATCCTCTCCATATGACAAGATCACGTGACAAAGAGAAGCAGTGCAAGTTCCTGACTCAGAGCTCTTATACCCTTGGGACTAACTTGGAGGCAGACAGGGGTATCATTTCTCATGAGTGACTTTGGGTGAACTTCAGTGGCCACCAGAAAGTCCAAGTCAGACTTTGGTAGTGTTCATTCCACCTGACCTGCAGGAAGGAGAAGGTAGAAGGGTTGGACAGCAATATGCATCAAAACCCCCTGAGCCTCAGGATTGAGAACCCTTCTGGATAGAGGAAAATACCTTCATTCCAGGAAGGTGGTATACCCCAACTTCCTGAGACAGAAGGCCCCACATAGGGACCTTCTGGCCATCTCATTACCACTTCAATGGGACTTGGTCATCATAGCCCTTATGACAATGAGTTCCCACAATATACTGAACCAGAGGTAGGGCCAGCTCTCCCCCATATGTAGCCACATGGACAGAAGTGTAAGGACTCCCAGGGCTCACTACTTGTAAATGGAACTTGAAACAGGGAATCTTGTGAGACTGCCATAGTCTGTGGGCCCTGATGTTAACTCGATACTGCCCAAAGTAAGTCAACTAATAGGACATTTGGTGGTGTCTGGAGAGGCCAGGAGTATCCCCCAATGGTGTAGGAAAACTCACATTTTATGTGAGAAGGGCTAGTGACTTTCTTCCTGTTAGACATGGACCCCAGTGTTGCCTGAACTTGTGAGTGGGTTCAGGTGCCAACTGGGCATCTGGAAGCCAGAGAGGATCATGAAGAAAAACTTGAATGAAAGTCAGGTACCCATGCTGAAGAGCTTGTCACAAAGATCTCTGCCATCGACCTTTTGGTCAATGCGCTGCCCCTGAGTACTTCTGTAGACAAGGAACAGCATGTGGTACCTGTAGAGATGGGAAGGGAGTTTCACATTCACAGTCAGGGGCAGACTTGAGTGGTCTTGACAAAATGAAATATATTTAGCAAGAAAAATCACTTTGTGTCACATTCTTGATACTTATAGCTACTATGTAACCAGAAAAAAATGAGTTTTAATATTTGATGCTTTCAGATTTGGAAATTAAGATCTTACTATATAATGTTTGGGAGATAGTTCCTTGGTGAGAGTAAATATTTTATCACTGTTGTATACACAGTGCCTTGAATCTTTATGAATAAGCAAAGACTGATGTCAGAGCTGTATTTGGAATAGAGAGATGGCAAACTTAGGGGGACCTGAGGCTTCTACCTCCAGGGTGGAATACTGCTCTGGGACTCTGTGAAAACTGACATTTAGACAAAATTATATCAGGCACACCCAAATTTATTATAAACCTTTATAAAGATGGTCCACTAGATTTTTCTACCTCATGAAAGTATAAAAGAGATCCAAGTTTGGGTAGAAACCACACTTCAGTATCAGAATTGTGTTTTTCTCCCTGGTAGGTCATACATGGGACAAAACTCTCATGATATTGGGCAGCAGCTGGAGCTGTAGTCCCTAGCCAGCCCCAAATTATGTACATGTCTTCCATTCCACGCCCACCTCATTGGCCACCCCCAACAGACTCTCATTCTCAGCAGATGCCTTGACATCCCCAGGTTTTGGAAAGCAAGAGAGCATCTGAGAGATGCTGTGATGGACATCTCACCCCTTGACCTGCCCAGAGCCCAGGGGAACCCCAGTTCCATTGCCCCTCCTCCCAGCGGGGCTCCTTACTGGAGCCCTGGAGTTTTATTTCCCTTTGGTTCTGTAGAGAGGAAAACTCAACATAAAGCAAGAGGCACCCAGCTAAAAGGCTGACTCCAACCTCTGAGGTTTGGTGAATATGCCCTACCTGTGGCCAGCACCAGGTCAGGGACAGAATTCTGCCATCGATCCTGACCAATAGGAGGTCTATAGGTAACACTTTAGCCTCTCAATGCAAAATCGTCATGGTTCACCAGCATCCCCACACAGGCACACGGGATGCTGTCAGGGTGGACCTTTGCTTGAACTCAGCATGGTACTGTTGCCCACCAGGACTGTCCTTCCTCCTTTCTGAGCAACAGCCCATCACTGTGTGACTATCCTCAAGAGGTGGATCTTTTTGTAATTTTGTTTTTGCTATTTGGGTCATTTCCACATTAGGGACTTATAAGGAAATACAAATCAGGAAGGAGACGGAAGAAAACTGACCTCTACAGAGCCACGCAGATTTATTAAAGAATAAACCTGAGAGGGTCCCCCCCACCCCCACCCCGCCACTGTGGGCCCAGGCACCAGAGGATGTCCGGTAATTCCTCAAAGCCTGGGAGGAGAGTACATTCTCCTTTACAGACTCAGGGTTTTTATAGTTTTCTCTCTTTGGGGAGTGGGAAGTGGCTGGGGTGGTTTGTGCCACATCAGACAAGTGCAGGATGGGTTGCCCCATTTCAAAGAGGGTCAGGGAGGGCAGTTCAGTCATGCAGGCCTTGGGTCAGGGGAGTTCCCTGTGATTGGGACCAAGTCATATCAGAGGGGCCAGTGGGGGTGTAGGAGAGCTGCCAGGGAGTGATGATCATGGAGAAGCATTCAGGACATTCAGGAGAGCATTCTTCCTTCAAGGTGGTCATGGATAATGTGGCCAGGAACCCTCCTACAGGGCTTCAAAGGGTAGATGCATACACCCTTGAGGTTAGCACCCATGAGGAGAAGTTCTGGGTCATGGGGCAAGTGCCTGCATTACTTTACTTGGAGAGTTTAGTTTTCTGGAGACTGTGTTATCTTACCTTCCCACCAGCGGTGCGGCAACTGCAGCTCTTTCCATCTCCACCCATCCCTGCTAACCTTGGGCTTCTTAATTTTAGCTATGCTAATGGGTTTGAATGTAGGAGGCCTCTCTTCAAGTTGTTTCTCTGATTACTGATGGCAACAGCACCTCTGTACTAGCTGGATGTTCGTGTATCTTATATTGTCAAGTGCTTATTCAAGTCTTTGGCCATTTTTAAACGTGTCTATTACTTGCTACATTCTTTACAGAATCTGGACCTCAGTCTTACATTGAAGATATTTATTGTGAACATTTTCTCACAACCTTAAGCTGCCTTTTCATTTTCCTAGTACTGGTTTGCTGTTGTTCTTTTGAGACAGGGTCTCCCTGTAGCCCCAGCTGTCCTGGAACGCACTACGAGTAGACCAGGCTGGCCTTGAACTCACAGAGATCCACCTGCCTCTGTCTCCCGAGTGCTGGGATTAAAGGCGTGCGTCACCACACACGGCTCATTTTCCTAGTACTGTTTTTTAAAGGATAAGAATATTTTGCTTTTGAGGGCAGGTTTGTCTATTTTTCTCTGTGGTTTTGTCGTTTGTGCCTTCTTAGGGTTTAAAGTGAAAGGTCTTCCACCGGCTCCTGTGCTTAACGCCTGGCCCCCAGCAGGCGGCGCAATATTGAGAGGTTCCGGATTCTTCAGGTCTGGCCGGGCTAGAGGAAGTAGGTCACTGGGGGGCGTGGCCGTGGGGACCGCAGCTCCTTCCCTCCGAAGCCGTAGGGGCGCCTTTGACCTGCTCTCCCTTCTGAGGGCGCCTTTAGGCTTCTGGACCCAGCTCTGCCCCCTCCGTTCTCCGTGCACCTGCTGCTCCTAGCCGGGCGTCTCCAGGGCTGCCTACCCACTGTTGCTTTTCAGCAGCTGAGGCCCAACCCCGCCTGCAGCCCGAAACTCTGCACCCAGTTTGGCTTCTGGAGTCCGCTCCTCCAAGACTAGAGAATCTTAGTGGGCGTCTTCTCCCCGGGGCTGCCCTTGCCCGAGGGTCTCTGAGTGTGCAGGGCGTCGTTCCATCCTCCCTGACCCCAAGACTGCTCCGATGCCCAGACCTCAGCTACGGGTGGATCTGCCCAGCTCTCGCTCCTCCTCGCCTTCACTGAGCAGTGTGACCCCGGCGTCCCACCCACAGACCCCTCAGATTCATGCCTCGTGCAGAACAGCCGCAGGCGCCTGGAAGTGGAAAGGGGACCCCGCCCAGGCTGGTGGCTTCGCAGTTCTGCAGGTGCCCAGCAGCCCTCCTGCCCCTCCCCCTTCCTCCTTTTTGTGTGACTGTCTCTTCCCGGACACAGCATGGCGGACATGGATGGATGGATGGATGGATGGATGGATGGATGGATGGATGGATGGATGGATGGATGGAAGGATGGATGGGGGATGGACGGACGCACGGCCCGAGTCCCTCCCCGCCCCCTCCCCCACCTCCGGTTCCACCTCGAGTGCCGCCTCGCGGACTCACTGATATGGCCCCGCCTCGGTTCAGCGTTGGTTGGTCCTGGTCTCTAGGCAACCACCAGCGGTCAGCAAAAAAGCCCTGGCTGGCTGTGTGCGGCGGCGCCATGGACCTGGTCGTTACACAGGAACTGGCCCGCGCGGAGAGCCACCAAGGTGGGTTCGGTCTCCGTCCAGCGGATGGGTATCTCCCCCCTGAGGCCAGGTCTGACCCCAGTAGAGCAGCACCTAAGGCCTCCTGCGCTTCCTGTGCTGCAGTGGCTGCGGTTGTTGACCTGGTCTGACTGTTGAGTTGGGAGGGAGGGCTGTGGGCTGCCTGGCCAGGAGTTCAGACCTGTGACCCTGCGCCAGAGGAAGGGTCTCCTGGGGACTGTGCCCCTCTGACACACCCACCCTGTGCCCCTCTGGTGACCCTCTGCCCCACAGATGCAGCTGCCCTGCAACGAGCCTACGAGCTGATCAAGTCAGCCAACATGGGGAAGTCGGAGTTTGACCCCTCAGAAAGCTTCAGCCCAGACCTGTTCGTGCTGTGCGCAGAGCAGGCCCTCAAGGTGGAGCCCAGGGCCTGGCAGGCACTGACACAAAAGGGAACAGCCCCACTTCCCCATCTCTGGGTGCACATGGTGCAGAGGAGGGTGGGTAGGACACGGATGAGTGGTCTTGGAGTCTGGGGGTGACCAGGGTAGTCTCACTGGTGGTCTGTCCTCACACCCCTCCATTCTGAGCATCTTGCCTGCTCTTCCTGCCTGTAATCTACAGATGGGTCGGCTCGAGATGAGCGATGACTGCATCCAGATGTACTTCAAGGTGAAGGGGCCACTCACCCAGTTTCTGGGCCGGGCCCATTTGTGCAGGGCCCAGCTTTACGCCCCACAGTGCGAGACCAACGTGGTGAGAGCCTACCCCCTCCCTCTTTCTCCCTGCCCCCCAGGCCACTGCCTTTCACTCCATCTCCAGGGACGGCAGTGGGACAGATCTCAGAGTAGCCTTAAAGCAAAATCTGTTAATGTTCACAGTGACACAAAGCATGCACAGGTCCAGGTTGTGCTTTTGTGACACTCAGCATCTGTCAGGTGTCTGTTATGAGTCCTTACATGTTCCATCTTTGCATGGCAGTGTCTTGACCTTTCTGTCTTCTTTCCCCACAGCCCTCCCTGAGCTGGGCAGAGAGGAGCTGGGAGGGTCTGGCACCTCTGGGCACAGGCAGCTGTGGATTCTCAATAACCTCTTTCCATTGCATCTCAACTGTACATAAGCCGGGGTGCCAGAAGCTGACAATGAGCAGTGATAGGTGTTTAGGTGGCAAAATCTGCTCACCTGTGTGTTCTTTGTGCTGTTTTAGGAAGAATTTGAAAATTGTGTGACTCAGTACATGAAGGCTATAAACTTTGCCAAAGGAGAGCCAAGGTAGGCATGGTTGGATTGTCTCTTCCTAGCTGAGTATATAAAAGACTTTAGTGTCCAAACTTACCACATGATGCTACTTGTTTAAACTGTCAGCTATTGCTTTTATATTCTTGTCTTGTATTTTTAGGGATTTATGATCACAGGCTTGTCTTATTGGATCAGGGAACCCGCTACGTTTCCTGAAGCTGAACCCGCCACTATTGTCAGTGTTGTTGTGATTTGTAGATAGCCTGTCAGTGTTTTGTCTAGCCTCCCTTCCAACTTGTCCTCCAGACCCCCTCACTCCTGGTCTCTGGGGTCAGCATCTCTGATGTGAGAGGGCCGTTCTCTGGGGTTCCTCTGGTTAGACTGCTGTCCTCTGCCCAGGAGCCAAGGTCCCCTGTCCCTGCAGAGATGACTCATGGAACTCTTCTCAGTGATCTTATCACCAAAACCTAAATTCAGTTCGTAAAACCATTAAGCTGGCACACAGACTGGCTTTGACACATGTGCAGTGGAACCCAGCTTTGGAAGGGGCTTTCATTCCTTCTACTTGTGTCCACTGGTATTGCTGATGGCCTTCTCTGGCCACACATTGCATAGGTGTTGGGGTACAGGGTCCAGCCTCATTGCCCTGCTCTCCAGGGACCAGGAACTGGCCTTGAACCGGAGATCTTAGCCCAGTGAATACGTTTCCACAGGGAGTCTTACAGTTCTGCTGCAGTGCAGGGGTCTTGGAGACACCTGGAGATGGACTGGGGAGGAGGGAGACTTAGGGGAGGGGTGGCTGGGACCCACTGGGCTGGCTGCTAGCCACCTAGTGTCCTTCCTTCCTGGGTAATGGGTGACAATGAATGGCCTGCCCAATGACCTGTATAGAATATCAGAACTGCCTACTCCAGTGTTCCTACAGTATGAAAGCCCTGTGGCTCCCACTCTGACTCCCTCGGATGGCACCCTGCAACCCAGGGATGCCTCACAGGTACTCTGCACACACCTTCAGCATCCCTCTCGGAGTTATGCTCAGATACGGATTCTGTTCTTCAAACACATTCCCCACCCATTGCAACACACATATCTGACAATCTTTTATATACTTAGCTTCTGGCCAATTCTTGGAGCTCTTCTTGGTCACAGTAGGATGTCACCTCCTCCAGGAAGCCTTCCATGCTTTTTCCTCCCTTGCTTATGACTGTATTTTCATGGGGGCTGGTTAGTTTTTGAAATAACTGAATGAAAGGATCCCAATCCAGACAGGAGCGATGGTCCTGGTCATCACCACCCAGTTGGACTACAGTCATGGCGCATGTGGAGCAGAGCTCCTAAGGGTGACTCTGCACTGGTGCTCATGCAGGTTGAACAGAAGCACCTCAGATGAGATGCTTCCATCTGCTGGTCATGGGACATGTCTGCACTTCCCTCCTGCATGGGCCCAGGAAGCAGGAGCCCCAGGTCCTATGCCTCAAGCATTCTGAATTTCACTCCCTGGCCAGATACTACTTCCTGGTATACAATGCTTCGGTGCTCTACTGGCAAATGGTGCGGCCATTTCTCAAGCCTGGATATCACCACCTTGTGATCCCCAGCCTCTCCCAAATCATCAACGTGTTAAATCAGACTGAGGAAGAAGACAAGGCGTGGAGGGCCGAGCTGATGCTGTGAGTGGGGTGCTAGCCCGTGGCAGCCGTGGGCAAGCCCCTTATGTGGCCTCTCCTCTCTGAGTCGTGATTCAAGCCATATTTGCCTTAGTTTCTCTTCCACGTAACTGGGTTTCTGACTTGTCAGAAGGTTCTTTCTAGAAATATGTGGATGTTGCAACAGACATTAGAAATGAGTTAGGATTCAAAGCAAAAGAAGTGGCCACTAGTCCCAGCCTGTGGTTTCAAAGCCTTAGTGCAGTGCTTTCCTAGTGTGGTGGGCACTTTAGCAAATAACTTAGCCAATGTGTGCGTCACATCTGGGTTCCCAGGTGCCTGTGCATGAGAGCTCTGAGGTCTTGGCTCTGAAGTCACAGCAACCGACCATCGGCCAGTGGCTAGACTGAGAGGCGGTCTGTCATAGGTTTCTTCAGGGAGCTTGTGGCAAGCAAGGGACCAGGTAGATTTCAACAATGGTGTTCCACTGTGCCAGAGCCAAAGATACCAGCTCAAGTCTAGACCAGAATCTCTACCCGTTTGTTGGGGTACCTGTTTGTTGTAGTTTAGGGAGCCTCTAAAAGAAAGCAGATACAAATCCTTCTCCACAATGCCATCTGTAAATGTCCTTGATGATTACAATGTCAGTAGTTCCTGTTCCCATGCCAGAATAGTATTCTTCTTTGCCTCTGCTGGCCTTGCAGTGAGCCGTGGAGAGTGTCAGGAGCTTCCCAGGGAAGCTTTGTAAAGTTTGCGAAGCACAAAACCTATGAAAGCCCAAGAACCTGCCTATTAGAAATTAAAAAACAACTTCAACAAGGCTAATGTCTGCTCTTTTCATGTTGTCCAGAGAACTCCTTGAATGTTACCTGCAAGCAGGAAGGAAGGAGGAGGCTGCCAAGTTCTGTTCCACAGCAGCACCGTTCGTAAAAGCTCATGTGCCACAGAAATACCAGCAAATGTTCTCAGTTATGGTAAATTGACATGTTTGAAAATTGATACAAGGAGGGGCTTTGGTAAAAGTCATTGTTCAGAAACTGCATATAACCACAAGTAAGTCCATTCATCAAGGAATAGCAAAGCAAACACATACACGCCCAAAACAAAAAAAGTCATCCTATATCAAGTCATATGTAAACAGTACTTTTTGAAAACAAAGCAAGATCCTTTCATTGTTATTCTTTTGTAGCAGCATCAAATCTTCAAAAGATTAATGGAAAATTTGTAAAGATACAAGTAATTACTATAGGACTGTGTCCCCAATGCTTCCATCGGCTGTTAATTTTGATGTATAGGAATCAGCTGAAGTTATATATAAAGTTATGTAAAAATGAAAATTTATGTCTTAATTGGCAGTATTAATTTATAGGAGGAACAAAATATTTGCACACAAAGTCTGAATGAATCTCTTAATTCCTTGTTTGAATTCAAATTAATATTTTGTTCCATTTCATGATAGGTTCGTCATGAACTAATGGATGACCTTCAGTTAAGAGAAGAGAAGAAACATTCCATTAGCCTGACTGTCTCTTACCACATTAATATGCTAAAAGCGTAAGTAGTTGGGGGACAGCAAGGCTGAACTTCTCAGGGCTAAGCTCTGAGCTGGGACACTGTCCCTTCTCTTGGGGATGTCCTTTGTCAGTGAGGGGAGTTTAAGGCTTACAGCTGAAGGAGCTGGCCCAGAGGAGGCAGTACCAGGATCTAAAGCGATCCCCACTTACCATGCCTTTCCCCATTACTGAGAAGCAGAGGCCAGTGAAACTACTACCAGAGTGAGCAGAGTCCCAGTAAGTGATGAAAGTCCCTAGCTGAGTCAGATGCTTCTTATGAGTCCTTCCAGATGAGGCTTGAGATGGACCATGAGGAGACCACAGTGTGTTTGAGGCAGAGGGGAGCGAGGAGACCACAGTATGAGGCTAAGGGGAGTGAGACGATTATAGTATGTTTAAAGCTCAAGAGACTGCTGATTTCAGGGTGTTTTTTACCTCCTGAAAATAATGTAGAATGGAGGGGGGTGCAACTTTCCAGGGAAATTGGCAAGAAGGGAGGGGAGGGACGTTTTAGGGCCTCCATTCTATAAGAAGTATGGGTTCATGGATTTAAGAGTTTCCCTGACGGGGCTGGAGAGATGGCTCAGTGGTTAAGAGCACTGGCTGCTCTTACAGAGGACCCAGGTTTGAATCCCAGCACCCACATGGCAGCTAACAACCATCTGTAACTCCAGCTCCATTGGATCCAACACCCTCTTCTGTCCTCTGTGGCATTGCACAACACAGGTGCACTTACACACATGCAGATGTAACATTCATACACATTAAAAAAAAAAAGTAAATAAAAATTTAAAATATAAAAAAATAGTTTCCCTGAGAATAATTTCTAACAAATATGTCAGGATTTTTTGATTATTTAATGTTCAAATCAATTCTAGAAAATTGGATAAAAATGATTTACCAGAAGACATCGACCAAATTCTGAAGAAGACACATAAACATTTAAGTCATTACAATCACCAGCGCTCTCCTGCAATCAGAGAAGAAAAGTAAGTGTTATATGACAACTGTACAATATTCAGAAAGTATTAGAAAATGTGAACAGTATGAAAACAAGCAACTAGAATTAACCTAGCAAATGCCTGTGTCGGGGAGGATTTGGTACAGCTCCTCCTGGTGGTTGTCTCCAGAAATTTGTACTGCCTGGGAGTGCTCAGGGTCTGAAACTCCACATTGTACCTTAAAATCAAAGTTAACTTCTAATCACAATCATTTTCAAGTCACTACAGCACCTTACCTGCTTATTAGCTACACAGTTTGGAAGAATGTGTTTCTTTGATCACCTCCCAGGAGTTCATTTTAACTCTGAGCTTTCTGAGATCGCTGAATACTGCCAGAGGCTCCTGGACGAGGAGCTAATAGTGTTGAAGGAGAAGTAAGGATCTGGAATGTTCTCTCATAGAGGTAGAACAGGTTTGTTTCTTACCTCAGTGGCTGGCTGTCACCCTCAAGAGCACTTTGTATTTACTTGAGATGATGAGGTTGGAATTATCCCTATTTTTGCTTTTATTTCCAAGTCTATGATAACCAATGAAGTTTAATGTTCAACTATGTTTGGGGCCTTTAAACCATCTCTGAGAATTTGCCTTCTGAATTTCAGAGATTTTCTCTCTAAACCACATCGAATGTGTGAAACATTGTCTATGATAATTGTCTTGGCCACAGGGCTCCTCCATTTGACAGCCAGGGCGAGCACCAACTGCCCTCAATGCTCATTTGATCATTCACTTGTGGGGGAATGGCATGTTGAGTTTTGTAGTCAAGTTTTGTGTCCAAGTCTTAGCCCTCAGCCTACAGATGTGACCTTATTTGGAAGCAGGGTCTTTGCAGCTGTAAGTTCAGATGTGTTGTACTGAATGAAAGTGGAGGCCTTTTAAGAGGAGGAAAATTTAGTCATAGGGACATGCATAGAGGCCATGTGACAATAGAGACAGAGGATGCCAATCATGCTGGCCACAGCCAGAAGCTGGAAGAGCAAGGAGGGGTTCTCCACCGAGCCTTCCAATGGAGTGTGGCTTGAGGGACGCCTTGATTTGAGGGCTGGTGTTGGAAACTGTGAGACAGTTGTGTTTGTTGTTTTACACTACTCAGTCTATAGTACTTTGTTATGAGAACCCAGGAAACTGATCTAGAGCATGTATTATTAGTTGTCTGTGGCTATGTGACAAATGACCACGAGCTGCAGCTTCAAACAAGGTACATTTGTCATCTGGTTGCTGGTAAATGAACAGGGCAAGACTCCTGTTCATTTACCAGCAAGATGTTGGATGTTGGCTGTCTCCCTCTCTGGCAGCTGAGCCTTGAGGGGAGGGGGGTTCTCGGTTCACATGGCTGCTGACATGATTAGCTCCTTATGGCCTAAGAGCCATAGGACCTCTCTGTAGGTCAGCCTGACTTACCAGACACAGCCAGAGAGAACATCAACTGTCCCCAACAGTTAGAGCTGTGTGTGGCTCAGAGTAGGAGAGGCTTCCTCTTGCACACAGTGGTAGTGTATTGATTGTCACACCCTCCTCAGAGGGAGGGGTATGAAGGAGGGCCACATTTGAGGTCCTAAGGAGCCTGGAGCTGGACTGAGAACCAGAGCAAAGAGATCAAGAACTCCTCAATGACTGGGATCCTCACACTAGATCCTCTGCCAAGTTAGTAACAGCTCTCTGAGAGGAATGCAAGTGTTCACACACATGTGGGTTCACACACATGCGGGCACACATGTGTGCTTGTTCCTGGAAGGAAGGCCACCTCTGTCATCAGATTCTCCAAGCTGATCTAACAGAAGTCAGCCTCCAGCAGCCTGCCATCGCAGGTGGCATCTCAGGAGAGTGGGGGCCCCTTCTGAGCATACACTGCTTGCTCTCTTAGATAAGATTCCTAGAAATGGAGTTTCTGGGTGGTAGACATATATTGCAGAAGCTGCACAGGGCATGCACACAGGAAGCTTGCTTTCTACCCTCTTGATGACCTCTCTGATCCTGTCAGGTAAAAGTACTGTTGCTTGACTTTGTATCTCTGACCACAATGAAACTGGACATTTATTCATATATTCATGAGGACTTTTTCCTTTGATAGCTACATTTTCCTTTCTTTTATGTGATTTTTTAAAAGGAGAGAATAACCCGTTGTACAGCTGACTTGTAAGAGCTTTCCCATGCGGAGCTCTAAGCCCTTGGATGTCCTATATTTACAAACCATCTAGGTGATCATCTAGGCTTTTATAAATTTTTAATGTATTGAAATGTTACATTTCATACAAAAATAACATGAGAGATTAGAGAGATGGCTCAGTGTTCAGACACTGGCTGCTCTTGCAGTGGACCCGAATCCTATTCCCAGCACCCACATGGTGGCTAACAACCTTTTGTAACTCCAGTTCCAGGGATTTAACGCCCTCTTCTGACCTCTGAGGGCACTGTATGACAAAGGTGCACTTACATACATGCAGGCAATATACTCATATGCATAAAATTTTTTAAAAATTAGAAAATAACATGTTCTAACATTCATTCCCACTAATCCTGGAGTAGACACTGTCTTCGTTCCTTCACACACAGGAACTCAGCTACTTATTAGAGCCTGGGACAAGTGGAGTAAGTGGACAACTGGATGTTCAGAGGAGCTCACTGGCCTCCTTGCCTGATGGTTCCTGTACTGAACACCACACAGAGCATTCCCTACTTGTGAGACAGTGAAGAACTGTGCCTACCTCTGGTGCCTCTATGTGAACTTCTAGTTGCAGTGCACAGGGATCCCCCAAACACTTTGTGCCTAGGAGGACGCAGAAGTATTTCAAAGCTCCTTATGTGATCCACACTCCGACTCCTGGTTTACAGAAAACATGTTATAAGCAGCCTGAGTTGCAAGTCTTTCCTCACAACCCAGGAAGCCTCAGCGTTTTCAGATACCCCAGAGCCCTGCTGACACTTCTCCAGTTGGGCTTCTGTGTCTGGAATTCTGAGTTGAGAGAAAAGTAACATTTGTTTAAACCCAGAATGGCCTGAGGACCAGCTATTTGCCCTTTCCCAAGTTCTCTCTTCTTGGCCTGCGCACCAGGCCCAGAACTCAGGTGGGACAGAGAGACCAGAGGTTCTAAGGCCAGACCTTGGAAGTCTAGAGCCTGAGAAGGGAAGAGGAGGCAGAAGAAGAACCCTCCCCCTCCCTGAAGCTGCTTCCCACCTGGAGCAGCCCAACACCAAACAAACGGAAGAGGGTGCTGCCACGTGCAGTCACTGTGACTGTCTGGATGGGACCCTGACCTTACAAGGGCAGAGAAGATATTGGGCCTGACCCCCAGGAATAGATGGCACTATCTGGAGATACTTGGTGGTCACTGCTGGGAATGCTGCTGACATCCAATGTGTAGGAAGCAGGGATGCAGTGGCAGGATGGTTGATCAGGTGCATCAGGCCAGGAAGCTCTGAGCTATCTCCTGTAGGACCACAGCCTATCATAAGCCTTAAAACAGACAGTCTCTCCCATAAGGTTGTTCTTTTTCAAAGATATTTGGCCATTACAAACATACTTTAATGTAGATTTAGCACCACTTACAGAGCCCTGGATTGGTGACAGTAGATGCTATTGGTGACATCCCACAAGCTTGTCACAAGGGAAGAAGAGTCTGTGCTGTGTCTCTTTCCCCAAATGGTCCTTTAAAAACTGTACTCACAGGGTGGCTATTGATAGGGTCTCACTGGGCATCTGTATAAGGTGGCATTTGTGATAACTCTGTGTTGCCTTGGCCTGAAGACCTGGGTGGGGACGGTATGTCCAGCAGGGACAGAGGCAGCACTGCGTGGAACACTGGGCCCTGTAGCAGCTGAGGCAGGTCTCATAACTAGGTATGTCTTACTTTGTTCCTAGCTCCCGCCTCTGTTGAGGAACAGAGATTGGTATTACCTCTGCCAAGCATGCACTCCTGCCCCATGCTAAACCACCACCGGTTTGTTCCTTTCTTCCAGAATGCTTTTGCTTTTTGAATTAGCCCGCCTGTCTCTGACTTTGAAATGCGAGGGTGTGGCCTATGACTGCCTCTCAGACCTGAAGAAAATTGGAACCAAAGTAAGTGACTTAAGGACAACCAAGGTGGAGGCTGCTGGGCTGCAAAACAAGGTGTCAGTAGTGAAGGCCTACCCCTCTCAGACCTGAAGAAAATTGGAACCAAAGTAAGTGACTTAAGGACAACCATAGGTGGAGGCTGCTGGGCTGCAAAACAAGGTGTCAGTAGTGAAGGCCTACCTGTCCTAGAAGTGTGCCTCCGGCAAGGTTGCCTGGCTGGGTTCTGCTGTTCTGCACCTGCCCCTTTCTCCCATCTCTGTCACCAGCTCTGGCTTATGTTGTCACCATTTGTTTCTACAGCTCATATATGGGTTGTGTAATATTCCATAATAGTAGGGATGCATCCCTTGCTACCCTGACCCCTGGGACATTTAAATCATACTTAATTTTTGCTTATTTCATAAAGGGATATTAATGAACAGTTTGTGACTAAGTCAACCCTTCCTGTCTTTAGGGATTTTTCCATACTGTGAGCTCATTGACTTGGATTACCAGGGAATTGTCACTGTTACGATTCTCTCTTTCTCTTAGAATATTTTGTTATTTTTCTTTTATGTATGTAAGTGCACCTGTGTCATGTAATATCCCTGGAGATCAGAAGAGGGCATTGAAATCCCCTGGAACTGGAGTTACAGATGGTTGTTAGCCACCATGTGGGTGCTGGAAACTGAACCTGGGCCCTCTGCAACAGCAGTCAGTGCTCTTCACTTCCAAGCCATCTCTCTAGTCCCAGCTTAGTTAATTTAAAGGGCAATCGTGGTAACATCCCTGAATCAGAGACTCGGGAGAACTTATCTGACCTCGCCAACTCTTCTGAAATCAATCACATGATTAAGGTAAATCTGAGGTCCATTTTCAGAAGCAAATGAGAAAAAACAGTCTGAAAAGACTAAAGTGAAATGGGTATGTGCTTACAACTGTGGTTTCAAATCTGTATCAGCATGACAACGCCCTTTCAAAAACGCTTCCTTGGGTACAAACAAGCAGTAGTTCTGGACAGAAGCCGACGCTGCAGAGCGAAGCAGCCAGCGAGTAGCTCTGCTTGGATACACCCTCTCTGCATTGGCGATTCTATTTAAAAGTAAAAGGTTTATTAACCAATAAGCATGACTCTTACTAAAGTTAATTTTTGTGCCTGAATTAAGATGCTCAAAGTAAAGAAAAATATAGCCTTAGTTTGCATTTTAACTTTATACACGCTGTTTCCACAGAATGGAGCCTTCTCTCACCCTGAGTGCTGCTCCATCCAGGGATGAGGTTAGATGACAGTGTTTTTTAGGTAGGGTGGACCTTGTTTTGACCACCACTTTCTGCTGTCTTGATTGAGTACCTAGTGTGTTCACAATCCTAATTACCTGTGAGAGAGACCCCCAGCTGACCTTCAGGTGTTTGTTAACCAAATAAAACTACGTGGCAGAGCAGGCAAGCAGGGGCAGGTCAGGTTGCCAAAGGGAAATCAGGTGTGCATAAGGTTCCTGCAGCCACTGCCCACCTGCAAACCTCTCTGCTCACCTGCTGAAGCAGCCCCTGACAAACAAGTCCCACCTAGCCTCCCAGGCTCTGCCTTTCCTGATTGAAGCTGTGGTCTTTCTGGTAGCTCACCTTGATCTCATGCTCTGGTGTCTTTAACTCAAAGGCAGAGGAGGGTTGAGAGTACCGCACCTCTCAGTCTGCAGCACCATCTACCCTGGTCCCTGGTGTATTCCAGGCCTCCATTCTAATACGTCCAATGTTTGTCATTCTTATACATTCATCCTTGAGAACGGTGTCTTCATATTTTTGTTAGGAACTTTATAGGAAATGCTGAAGTAGCACATCAGTGTCAGTCGCTTTTCTGAATTTGGTACATACTTACTATTTTCTATTTGATACGTCCAATGTTTGTCATTCTTATACATTCATCCTTGAGAACGGTGTCTTTATATTTTTGGTTAGGAACTTTATAGGAAACGCTGAAGTAGCACATCAGTGTCAATCGCTTTTCCGAATTTGGTACATACTTACTATTTTCTATTTTCTCTGTTGATTTCTAAGAAAAACATTCTTAGTCTTTACCTATGAGAATGGATGTTTCAGTTTGGCACAGAATATCTACCATTTCTTATGCTCCTTGGTACATTCAGGCCAGACACTTTCCTGGTGAAGTCTTGCAAGAGTGCTTCACAATATGTTCATTGTTCATCTAGCCTCCTTGAGAATGGGGCACATTTGACTTGCTCCTCACTACCCCCACTCTTGGTATAGAGCCTGATGCCTAGGAAGTGCTCAGCAAGCATCTTCATCTTGCTGAGGGTGTATGGCCAGCTTTCAGGCCTGAAACTCCTTCCTTGTGTGGGCCTGCCGGGACCCATGGCTGAAAGTCTAAGAGCCAGGCCACTTCCAAGGTCTGCATGGAGACACACCCAAGAAGAAGAAGCAAGCTAAAAGCATCTGACATTTTAGTGAAGCAAACCCACAATTCTAGGAAGTTGTTCAGAAATGACTGGACTTTTCCAAGGGACGTCATATAAAGCATGCAGTAAGGCAGGGTTGGATTCCAACTTCTGGCCCAGATAGAGATAGAACAACATTGTCTTCAAACCCAAAGAAGCTAAAACCATACAAAATACAGGAAACTGTGATCTTCAAAGCGCTGGATAATGAAAGCAGAAAATGAAGGAAAGTGTGACAGGAGAGGCGGACACCGATAGAGCAGGTTCTGTGCCATCTGACTGCTTTTAAGGGAGCCAGGTGCATCCACTTTGTAGCTGGGGGGTGCGGTAGGGATAGGGCAGCTACAGGTCATGAGACAGAGGAGCAGGGAGGAGTGACAAGCACACAGAGCTGCCTTAACCCCCCAGCTGAGCATCAGTGAGGACATACGAACACTAAGACGCCACCTTGCTGGGGAAGAAGCTCTTCTGGGAAAGTCAGACAAGAGAGTTCTCTGCAGACACCATTCTGACAAGAATAGTTCCTGTTCCTACAGCCAGAGAACCTCAGAACTCAGGTCATGTGCTCAGAAGTGATGTGAAAATATCCCCAGGCTGCACCCTCTGACTGTGTATAACAAAGCTTAAGAGTAGGAATGAAGAATCAACCGATGACAAGGCCATTACACAGATGAACTCAAGCCAAAAAAAAATCTCAGCATGGATGGGGGACGAGCCATGAAGTCCCACTGCCCGCTGAGAAGCTGTTGGCAGTTGATGGCTTCCTGGGAGAGGGAACATCAGTTTTCTTCAGGGATGCGAGCCCCAAGAGGCTATCATGCTCCAGAAGATGGCCCTGAATGCATGCTCATATCAGCAGCGCTAAATAGATTCAATAGATCTCTTTTTTAACAATCACATGAGCCAGGTGTGGTGGCGCACGCCTTTAATCCCAGCACTTGGGAGGCAGAGGCAGGTGGCTCTTTGTGAGTTCAAGGCCAGCCTGGTCTACATAGTGAGTTCCAGGACAGCTGGGGCTACAGGGAGACCCTGTCTCAAAAAGACCAGAAAGAAAAAAAAATAACATGAAGTTGGGAGTTGAAAACTGTACTGTCTCAGAGGTAGAGGATCTGATCTGGTCATGCCTTAATGAGAGTAAATAAATGTAAATGGTCCCAAAGCCCAATTAAAGGCAAATGCTTTTGCAAAGGGGAAAAGAATGAATAAAACACCCAAGCTGAACTTGAACTTCTAAAGTTGAAAACTATACTGATGTTTTAAAAGGAAAGATTAGCAAACCTGAAGACACCATATGAAACACAAGAAGCAGTGAGAAAATTCAGAGCATCAGGGAGCCTGGGGCAGCTTCCAGCAGAGTGATAGATAGTGCCACGAATCCCCGAGGACAGGAGGGAAAAGGGGAGGATATGGAAGATATAATGGTCCAAATGTTAAACTTGACAAAGGGAGATCAGGCAGTGATGTTAGGAATGGCCAGCACACTTTAATGTGCCAGAATAGGGGCCTGGAGAGATGGTTCAGCTGGTTAAGAGCACTGGCTGCTCTTGCAGAGGACCCAGTTCCCAGCACCCATGTGGCAGCTAACAACTATCTGTAACTCCAGTTACAGGGGATCAGATGCCCTCTTCTGGCCTCTGCAGACATTGCATGCATGTCCTGGAGTATATACATACATGCAGGCAAGACAGTCATACACATAAAAATTAAGAAACCATAATAAAAACCAGTCAGCCTAAAAATCTACACCCTTAGAAACTGTCTTTCTTCTTCCCAAGAGTACAAAAGGAAACTCTAGGTAAGAGGGAGATGGTGTTTGACTAAGACCTGGGTCTGCACAGGACAGTGACAGCAGCAAAGATAACAAGGGTGCACTGTGGCAGGACAGCAGGAGAGAGCTGACATGTGTGCAGGTGTGACGTTACCATGGCAAGAAGACTGAAGGGGGCACCTGTGATACACGGATGGCACGCACTGTATTTCCAACCAGAGCAGCACCAAAGGATGTACAGCTAGTGAGCTGTCGGAGGAGATGGGAGGACTGGCAATGGAGCTCAGTCGGTAGAGCGCTTATCTGTCAGGTGTGAGCTCTGGGTTCTCTCTCTAGAAGAGACGGGAGGGAGAGGGAGAGAAAGAAAGATGGAGAGTGGAACAAGAATGGATAATCCAACAAGACTGAAGACAACAAAATGAAGAAAGGGTGGGACAGAGAGGAGTAAATGGTGCAGTGTCAGGATGAGCAGCAGATCTGATCCCTAGTCATGCTGTAATCACAGTCAAGCGTAAATGGCCCAGAGAGCCCAGTTAAAAGGCAGATATCACAACAGGAAAAAGACAGGTCCTAAACCCATGCTGCCTGCAAGAACGCCATGTGAGACACTGCAGACTTAGCTTCAGGGTGGGGAAGCCCAAGGTGCTCAAACTGGCACAGTGTACCTGCTAACACTAGTTGGGAGAAGCTGAAGTGACTGCATTTTCATTACACAGCATCTGATTTTTAAAATGCTGGTGATAGTCATTTCACAAGATGGAAGGGCTCAGCTAGTGGAGAAGAGGTAGCATTGTGCACCTACCAAGCACAGCACTTTAAAACAAATGAAGCAAATTGTTAGAACTGTGAGGGCAGACAGAGTTCAAAAGTAAAGCCAGCAATTTCAACATTCCACTCTGAATGATCATTAGCACAGGTAAACATAAAATATCTGTAAGGATATCAGTTAAGATATAAAAGACTTAGAAAGCCATCTTGGCCTATGGCAGCTGTTAAGCACCCTCCTACCCCACCCCCAGTGGCAGACTATACCATCTTCTCAGGTCACAGATTATTTACCACCATAGGCTATATTACAAGCTAAAAAAAATTACATAAATTTAAAGGTAAATTCAATTCTTATAAACTATTCACCGATCAGCATGGAATTAGATTTGAAGTCAACAATAGAAAGATGCTAAAAATCCCAAATACTAGGAAATAAAACTACACATTTGCAATTAACTCATTAGTCTAATAAAGGTTCAAAATGGAATTAGAAGATATTTTTAAGCTGAGTGAAAATGAAAACATACTATCAAAGTTCTTGGGATGTCTTTATCTTATATTTTTATATTATATTTTTATCTTATATTTTTTGTTAATTAACAAAAGATGATTTTGTTTTTCAATTTTATTTTTATTGATTTTTTGTGATTTTCAATTAACAATATACTTTGATGGTATCCAGCGTCCCTCCCTCATCCCCACCTCCCTCCACTTCCCCCCAGCTAACTTAATGCACTCATATGTAAAATATGGCCTATAGAGTCTGATTTGTGTCTCCAAATGTCCTTCATTGTGGGTCCCTTCCCTGGAAGACACTCTCTCTCCCTCACAGCAGCTATTAATTGCCAGGTTAGGTTGGGATTTCTTACCCATCTCATCACGTCAATACTGAGATTTTGTCTAGTTTGAGTTTGCATAGGACCTGTCCATGCTGTCACCATTGCTGAGTTCATATGAGCAACTGAGCAGCTGTCTGGAAGACTCTGTTTCCTTGTGATCATCCACGCTCTGGCTCTTACAATCTGCCTCCTCTTCTGCAATGATCCCCAAGCCCTGGGAGGCAGAGGTTTGAAATAAATATCCTATTCAAGGATAAGCACTCTGAAGCCTCTTGTTCTCCGAAACTTGGCCAATGATGGGTTTCTGTGTTGATCAACATCTATTACATAAGGAAACTTTTCTGGTGAGAGTTGAGAAATACATTCATCCTATGTGCAGAGGTTGCATTGAGGCTATGTCATTTAGGGTTAAGCATCTCAAAGACACTTATTCTCTGTATTTGACGAGTGCCGGAACTCTGTAATGGTCTCCATCCTGGTTAGTCAGGGCCAAGGCCCGGGGAGAGCTGTTGGGAACAGGATGGGCTAGTTCCTACAAGCTAACAGAGAAGGTCTGAGCTTTGGAACAGGGAGAACTGGAGATGGTCCCAAAGCAGCAGGTTGGCATGGTGGCAGTAGCCGGCTAACTCACACCCCCTAGTCAGGCATTCTCCAACAACCTCAGGAGAGGGGGCTAGGACTCAAGGAGAGCTGGCGGGAACAGGATGGGCTAGTTCTTACTAGCTAGCAGAGAAGCTATTTTATTTTATTGTATGTGGGGGTATGTGTATGTGCGTGTGGAGGCCAGAGGCTGTTAGGTGTCTTTTCATTTTCCATTTTATTTTTGAGGCAGGGTCTCTCACAGACCCTAGAGCTTGCTTTTTTTGGCTAGACTGGATGACCAATGAGCCCCAGGGATCTGTCTCTGCTCTGCCAACCCTAGGGTTAAAAGCTAGTACTACCATGCCCTGCTTTCACATGGTGCTGGGGACCCTAAGTCAGGTCCTCCTGCTCGCACAGTAAGCACTGTACCCACTGAGCCATCTGCTCAACCCCGTGGAATTTTTTGAAAGCAGAGTTTAGAAGCATCAGTGAGCTCAACTCCCATCTTGAACAAAAGGAAGAACGAGTGAAACCCAAAGTAAACAGAAGCATGGTGGACAGACACCAAAACGGGATTGAGTGGAAGCAACAGGGATCAATGAAACCGGCAGTGGCACATTCTTTGAGAAAATCGGTAGAATTGACAAACCCCCATGCTAGACCAATCAGGCACAAAAACTGACATGAGTTATTAGGAATTAGAGACAAGACATTACTACAGATTCTAGAGCTCTTAAAAAGCTATAAGAATATTGCAAACAACATTATGTCAATAAATTTGAGGCTATATGGATGGGTAAAAAAGGGAAATTTATACACAGATGAAAAGATGCTGAATGCTTTTAGCTGTGGTATTCGCCATGCACTCATGGGAGTGGCGGAATTAAGGGCTTACCCGTGCCAAATGTTGAGAATCTTTTGCACCTGCTGGAGAGAGTAAAAAATGTTGCACCCACTGGGGAAAACAGTTCGGTGATTTTGTAAAAAGTCAAGTACACACTTGCCATAAGATCCAGGCTTCTGGCTCTGAGGGACTGTGTGTAGCCAATGCAAAGGAAGCCCCGTGACCGTGTCATGAGACCACTTGTATGCAGCATTCAGCTTTGTTTGTACTGGCAGAAGACAGGTAGGAACAGAGAAGGGGATCAATGGGTGAACAGGTGAGAAAGGTGTACCTAATTGGTCTGGCATGGGGGTTGTCAATTCTGCCACCGAAATGTGGATGTTTTCCCATTAACCACATGGGAAATCAGCCCTCCTTCCCTATAGACTGAGGCTGGCTTCGGGAGCCAAGGGCAAAGTACCTCATGCCAAAACCTTGAACTTTTACTGCTTCATGTCAGGACTCCAGGCAGGAATGACATAAAATGTATTTTCTAAATTTTACAGTAGGTAGTTTGTCTGAAGCTGGTTTAACTATTTAAAAATTCAAGTCAGAGGTTGGTGAGATAGCTCAATTGAGTAAAGGTGTTTGCCTCCAAACTTGATGACCTGAGTTCGAGCCCTGAAACCCAGATGGTGGGAGGAGAGAACCAGCTCCTGCAAGTTGTCCCCTGACCCCCACATGTGCTGTGGCACATGCATTCCTGTACATACACAATCATGCACAATAACTCATAAACAAAATTCTAGCTGGGTGTGGTGGCACACACTTTTAATCCCAGCACTCAGGAGGAAGAGGCAGGTGGAGCTCTCTGAGTTCAAGGCTATCCTAGTCTACACAGTGAGTTCCAGGCCAGCCACCACCACCCCCCCCCACCAAATTAAAGTCAGGCGTGGTAGCTCATGTTGGTAATCTCAACATTTGGGAAGTTGAGACAGGAAAGCAGGCATAAATTCAAAGTTTCCCTGGACTACAGAGTGAGTTCCAGGGAATTCTGGGCTATAGAGTGAGACCCTATAGCAATTAATTAATTAAATTCAAGGTCAACTGAAATCAAGTGTTTTCTACCTAATAAAATGATTTTAAAATGTTTTCTTGCCTCTGTATCTTTTGGAGACATGTTACATTTTTCTCTGTTTTTTCACTCTGTTCTAATTGTCCTTTGTTGGTTTCTGCTGGGACATTTGAAGTGTTTCAAAGGGTCTTTGAGGCTGATGAATTGTGTGCTTGTGGTCGTTAACGACTTCATGATCACAAACTTCATCTGTACTGACAGGATCCTGGCAATCTGATTGAAATTGAATGTCTGGAGTGTGAATTAGAAGCTTTGAGACTTGAAAGTGAAGTTAAAATGTATCTCCGAGGAGCTGTTGAGGTAAAGTCTTAAACTGGAGTCAGAGCTCGCTGGTTGGGAGCTGCTCTGCAGGTCCAAGGGCCTGGGGAACACTGGACTGCTCTGAGGGCACTGTTTCAATGTGACAATGAGTTCCAAAGGCGGAGGAAGCCATGGGGATAAAGATGAGCATAGAACAAGTGGGGTCACTCTGGTGGGGTTCAAGGAAGACTGGGAGCATGGAGAGTCTGTTCCACTGGTTCTGAAACTACAGACTGAAGCCTTTCTGCTGGGAAGGGTACGTAACACAAACCAGACAGACACTCCTTGGGTGGTGAATGAATGTAAAGGATGTAGGCCCTAGTAAGTAGACTCAGTTAAGAAGTCTCACTTGTGTAAGAAACATAATGAACTATAGACATATCTAAGGCTTTCAGCAGAATGTCTCATATGGTACCAAATGCAGGACATCCTCAACAAATCAAGGCTCTGATCTATGGCTCAAGCCTGGAGTTAGCCTACACCTGCCCCCAGCCAACCTGATCCCTCTGGCTGACCATCATTGCTTTCAGCCCTGTCTTGCCATCCCCAGCACTGGCTTTTCCAGATGGTGACCATGACTGGCCTCCCAACTCAGCCACTCAATGTGCCCCTGCAGGACCAGCTGGACATCATAAAGAGGATAGATATAACCCTGCAGCAGGCCATCCGCCTGGGAGATCCCCGGGCCATCCATGTGCTGTGTACTGCACAGTGGAACACTTGTCTGCCCCTGCTACAGCACAGCCTGCGACACCACCTCCGAAAGCCACTGACCAGCATTGCTGAGGTCCTAGAGAAGGTGGACAGGTAGGCACCAATTGTCCTGTGTCCTCCTCAGGACACAGGACATGTGGGGGAGGGCCAGGGCCAAGCTTTTCAGTACTATAGGTGGGCAGAGCTCAGCTGCCGCTGTCCGCGTGGGTGCCTGTGCCTTCCCAGCTTCACCTGTGGAGTGAACAGAGTACTTAAGCCCAGCTTCACTTGCTTGGCTGACACCTTTCAGTCACCCAAGGCATTGTGTATTGAGAGTCCTTTCCTTTCCATGGCTCAGCTTTCCATAGTATAAACAGTCCTCACTCTATCTGCCAATGTATTGTGTTGGAGAGGGACTTGCAAATGTATCCTGATGCCCACTGTGGACATATGGTAGACAGGCTGACAACATTAGCCAGACACCCTCTTCCAAGTGTACGTCCCTTGGCTCATACCACACTGTGGGGTCCCTGTCACCCCATCTCACTAACATTTGCTTTTATTGATCCTTTAATTTCAGCTGTTTGATGGCTGTGTGCTGGTATTTCACGGTAGATGTTTTTCATTTCTCTGTGGCTGAACGAGCATCTTTCCTGTGCTGTTGACACTCACCTTTGTCTGCTTTGGTGATATGCCTGCTCATGACTTATGTATCTTCCAGCTCAACATCAAGGTCATGCTGGCTTTATAAAATGAGTTGTGCAGTATCTTCCTGAAATCACTTTCCAGAGGGTTAGTACAACTACATGCTATGTTTCCTGTAATCAGCAGCAAAGTCAACTAGGCCTGGGGGCGGCTGTGTCTGGTTTTGTCTCATGGGAAGGTCTTCAGTCTGAGAGTCTCTGAGCCTGGGCTGAAGGTTGAAGGTTGAGGAGCGAGCCCTTCTTCCCCCCACTCATTGTGTGTGTCATCATGCTCTGTAATTATGGGGCTTCTAGCCTCTGCTTCCTGGTTTTTGTCACTTACAACGTTCCCTGAGAGAGGAGCACTGCATGTCCCAGCCAGAATGTGGCGCTGACTCCTTCCCTCCACCCGGACAGATGCCCCCTTTATTAAGACCATATGTACACCTTGCCTGGCAATGTTGTTTGACACAGATCCTGAGTGCCTGCTCCCTGTGTCCCCTATTGTAGACTACATCTGTCTGTCCTTTAACTCTGACCCTACTTGTTTCTTTAGTGTACAAACACTTTCAAGTCTTGTCTTTCAGACTTAGGTGGTTGAGTTTTGCCTTTGTATCTAATGTGACCTGCCTTCTAGGTGGGCCATGTGGGCAAGCAGTTCAGATGCTCACCAATATGTTCTCCCCTCTTCATTCTGCTACTGCTTTCTCCCCTGCCTCCCCTAGAGCTGGCTGAATGTTCTAGAATTCTGTCTCTCCTCCATTGGCTTCTGGGCTTCTATATACGTATGTGGGAGATGGTTTCTCCAGGGTCATGCTGGGCTTCCTTCACCTCACACAGCCTACATGAAGCATCAGTCCTCTTCCCACTCTCAGAGGTGCCAACCCAGGGCCACTTGATACCACCTCATAGCCATGCTGTATTTACTGTTGGCAATCTTTCCTTTCTAGGAAAACTATGGCCTCTTTTGTTACCTCATCTTGCCAATGCCAGGATCTCCTCTTCCACAGACCAGAACATTCTCCAGCCCGGGGGTCACCTTCCCTCAGGAGCAGAATGCAATTAGTGGGCTCTCTCAGCTCTGCCGGTCTGCATTGATTTTGGAGAGTATTTTTGCTTGCTACTGGGTGCAGCCTTGGCAGATACTGTTCTTTCAACATGGTCTCTGTGGTCTCTGACAGAAAGTCAAGTGTGGTTCTGTGTGTGTCTTCTTTCCTCCTTTCTACGTTGAAGTTTGTATCTTTAATTTTTCATCATTTTATGTTATTCATAGGAGCCACTTAAAATTTTAATTCTGTGTGAGGTCTCTAAGATGCTCTGTATGTAAAATGACATTTTCACTAGACCTGGGGCGTTACTAGCTGTTGTTTCTTTGAATCCATTCATCCATTCTTCTGGGATACTGGCTGCAGACACGCAGAATGTGGGGTGCTTCTCAAAGCTCCTGGGGGCTGCTTAGACTGTTAACTCTTCTGTTCTGATCAGGCCCTTTGTGTAGACCTGTTCCAGGTTGGTGGTGTTCCTGGCTGCTCCCTCTGCTGTTACAGTCGGCCAGGACTATCTGCCTTTCAGTTACTACAGCTCCCGTGTCTAGTGTTCCCACTACCTGTTCACTCATTAATACTGTTTTTCCTTTGTAATATCTATAGTGTAATATCTGCTTTAATGGATTTATCTTCAAAGCCCAACAGCCAACCCATCTTTGTCCTGCCGAGGGGTCACACTCATCTGTCTCCTGGCATGTCTAATGACTTTTGACTTTGTCCTGACCACTGTATGTGGATCCTGTTGCATTTTTGTTTGTTTTGTTTAAAATAGGGTCTCACTATGCAGCACTGGCTGACTTTAAACTTGCTGTGTAAATCAGGTTGGCCTCAAATTAGTAATGATCCCCCTGCCACTGCTTCCTGAGTGCCATGATTATAGGCATGCACTACCATGTCTGGCTTGTTACCTTTTTGGAGAAGTGTTGGCTTTTGTTCTAGTGGGTAGTTGTTTTGTTCTAGTGGGATGTTGGCTGGTGGGCTTCAAATTACATAGGGTGTTCTACTTCTGGAGGTCCAAGGTGTTTTCTATACCCATCCCAGAGAGAAAGTGTCCTTGATGCAGGCTCTCCTACATCTCTATGAAGGCTAAGCTTTACGTTTTGTTACAGCAGAGCCTCAGAGGTCCCTGCTGCTTAGCTGCTCCATGCCCTGTCCACTGTATGCTCAGTTCAGGGGACATCATGCCCACCTGCTCTGCCCCTGCCAGGAGCCTATCACCAGTTCTCCCAGGGGTGGCAATCTCATGCTTCCCACCAGCAGTGCCTGGAAGCAGCTGCTCCCTTGTTTGGTCATTTTTCAGATGCTGTGGGTGGCAAAGTGGCCTGTTCACAATGACTTCATCATAGTTAGAAGTAGAGACAACTGTAGCCTTGCAGCTGTCTGCTCCGTCTGCAAGTCTATTGGCTGTGATGGTTTTTATTTCTGCCCCCTATGGGTGCCTTTCTATGAATGACTCTGCTGTCCAGCTGCAGGCAAGTTTCATGTGGGCCCCACATCTTGCCTACAGTGGATGTCATGGCACCCGGGCTTCTGCTCCTTTGGGTAACAGAGCTCCAGCCCCTGACACAGTAGGCTCACTCTGTTTCTCTATAGAACCTTATAACATTCCTAGTTTTCCCTGAGGTCATGAGGGTGTTATTTGAGAGTGTTGCTGCCGTTTTTATTTCTCCACCTTGGCAAAGAGTGAGTGGGTCCATGGTTCTTTAAAGAATCTCCATCCAGTAGTTATGGGTTGTTAGAGCTATGTCCTGTGGGCGTGCTCAGTGTGATCCATTTTGTACTATTGGCAAAGGTTTTTGGGTTTTTTTTTTACTCTTAAAAAAATTTATTGAGAATTTCATACATGCATATAAGGTGTTTTGATCAAATCCATGCCCACCCCTTCCCCTCCAACTCCTCCCGTATCTCCCCATCACTTTTTCCTGAACAACTTTGTGTACTCTTTGTTTTTGTTTTTGTTTTTTATGGGTTTTTTTGCTACTCTAACATTCCCCACTCTGAAGAGGTAACCCTAAAATCTTTTAGGGATTAGATAAGAGCTCCCAAATACTTTTGACTTTTTTGGCCTTTGCAAAAGTAAGAGGCCCAAGGACATTTTGACTTTTAGCCAAGAAACTGGCTACTTTTCTTTGGGGTCTTTTTACCCTAACTGCCTAACCAATTCCTACCTCCTGTTCTTATCACACCATCCTCTGAAGAGGTTACCCAGATTGCCAATGTCGGCAAAGGTTTTACTCAGATGCAAGGGCTTCCCTGGCATTTATTGGACCCCTGCCATAGTGACAAGGTATAACCAAGCCTCCTGAGTAGGAGGCCAGTGTTTGTCCAGTAGAGCAAAGATCATGAGACGAGGGACTGTGTAATACCCACCACATCACTGACACTGAGTGCCTTCCAGGAAAGGGGTGTCAGTGGACAGCCGGGTAGTGGTCGTATCTGTGTGGTCCTGGGACAGTCGGACCTGCCATTGTACATATGTCACAGTTCTCCACAGTTCTCAGCTGGGGTCCAATAACCAGTGCACTTGCTACATGAACTCTAAGGTCTCTGGTGGTCTATAGAGACCAGAACAACCCTACTCTCCCTTTGTGAGGTTTCAAGACAAGGCAGGAAAGAGACTGGAAAGCAGGACTCTGGGCAGCCATGGCTTTCTTTCTCTGTCTTCTGCTGGTGGCTGGACAGTCCCACAGGCTCACCAGCAACCAGCACAGCTTCCTCACACATGCCACTGTCTCTAGTCTCATGACCATGCTACGCTGCCAAGTTCACATGGAGTTGGCATACATTGAGCAAGATGAGGACCGGCTGGAGCCTGCCATGGAGCATCTGCAGAAAGCCATGAACCTGGACAGTCTAGGCCTCTACCAGGACAAGATCAAGATGGCCCTCAACCGGCTGCGCTTGTGCACTACGCTGTACCAGTCTCCTGAGCGTCCTGAGGATAAGGCCATGCTGGCCATTGAGCAGGTGCAGGCCCATTGTGGGGAGCAGTCTCCTAAGAAGATCTAAGAGAATCCTCAGGCAGAGAAGGACCTGAGGACCATGCAAATCCAATCATGAAGCCTAGGCTCAGCTTCCCAGGGTTCATAGCCAGAAAGCTATAGGAGGAACCACAAGGCAGCTTGGGAGTTCTCAGAAGTCCTAGGGGAGGGACTTCTTCAGACAATTTGTACACTACACTGCCTTTTCTGTCTGCAGGCAAAGAAAGCCATTCCAAAAGACAGCATCAGGAAGAAGCGGGCACTTCTGGTGAACGCAGGCCTGGCCCTTGCTCCTGACACCTTCCAGATTGTGCTGGACAGTGAGAACGAGGCCAAAGGTTAGCACTGAACTTGAACTCACTGGCCTTTTCATGACACACATTGTTAGTCTTGGGAGCCACCAGAGAGGGATTGTGTCTACATGTGGCTGTTAGCAGCAAAGTACCACAGCCAGGACTTAAGCAACAGGTATATTTCCTCGCTGTTCTGGAGGCTAGAAGTCTTGTGATGGAGATGTGGCAAGCTGGTCCCTACTGATGCCATCCTCCTTGGCTTCTAGGTGGTCATCTTCCCTAATGTCCTCACTGTCTTCCCTACATGTCTGTCTCGGTGTCCTTTTTCTAGATTGCTTTCTATCGCAGTGATAAAACGGGCTGGAGAGATGGCTCAGTGGTTAAGAGCACTGGCTGCTTTTGTAGAGGACCTGGGTTGAGTTTCCAGCACTCACATGGCAGCTAACAACCACCTGTAACTCCAGTGCCAGGGGCTCCAACACCTTCTTCTGACCTCCATGGACATTGCATGATACAAGTGTCCTTGCAGGCAATGCACTCATACACATGAAATACAAATAATAAAAAACATTGTGACCAATAACAACTAGGCATAGAGAGGGTTTATTGGGGTTATACTTGTATATCACAGTCCATCACTGAGAAAAGTCATGGCAGGAACTCAAGGCAGGAACATGGAAGCGGGAACTGAAGCATGGACCCCAGAGAACAATGGTTACTGGTTCAGGCCTGGGCTCAGGCTGCTTTCTCATACAGCCCAGGACCACCTGTCCAGGGGGGTCACCATCCACAGAAGGATGGACCCTCCCACATCATTCAACAATCAAGAAAATGCCTCACAGACATACCCACGGGTCAATCCAATAGTGGTAATTCCCCAACTGAGGCTCCCTCTTCCCAAGTATGTCAAGTTGACAACCAAAGCCAACCGTAACAATCTCCTCTTATATGGATGCAATCATATTGAACAGGGCCACCCAATGGCCTCTTCAACCTTATCACATATCCAGACCCTGTCTCCAAACAAGGCAGGACTTGGAAACAGTGTGTCTAGGGACAAAACTCACCTGAGGCACAATGGGGTAGTCCTGGAATATTCTTTGGATCAAACCTGGCTAGACTCCACTCACCTGGGTCACTTACCTTGTCTCCAGGGTACAACACAGGACTGCACTATCCCCTAGCTGTGGCTACTGAATCCAGATTTTGGAGACAAACCAGCAGCTTTGGCTGTACAGGCAGCCTGTCCTTCCCTGAAACTGCAGGCAGGTCTGAGATAGTGGGGCACCCTCTTGCAACCCCCTCCAGCTCAGCTCTGACACAAGGTGTCACAGTGACTTGAGCCTGGGAGATGACAGTCTGAAATAGAGTTGACTGTGGTCCATGTCATGGATCCAAGACCAGGGACAAGAGAAAGCGGGATGGGGTCATGGCCCTGTGCTAAGGTTGGTGCTCCTGGGAAGTGGTCCTTCTGCTCAGGAGCTGTCTGCCATCTGTCTGTCTATCTGTCTGTCTGTCTTGCTCCATCATTTCCTTTTGCTTTATAATTTCTCTGGTTTCATTTTGACCCTCATTAAATCTGAGCAGCTGTCAATCTGGCCTAGGTGTGGATGGTGGGTGCTGTCTTGGGGGGCCAGGATGAGAATGGGTCAGAGGCCTGGTGCTGAACTGAAGCAGACTGCCTCTGAGAGATGGAGGCACACCCCAACTTGGCTTCTGTTTTCGGCTTTCAGTTCCTACTGGGAAAATCAAGGGCCGATTCAGCTCCCTCTGTGCCAAGGCTCAACACCACATTCTCAGCGTGGACAAAGCTGCTGGGCACCTGCAGCACCTGGGAAGTGAGAATGACAAAGAGAGGTGAGCCAGAAGGAGGAACAGAGAAGTAAAGCAAAGCTGGCAAGGGGGCCTTTTGGCTGAGACCTTCATCTAGGCTCTAAGCTCATGGCTGCCTGGGACCAGCAGGCCAGTGTCTCTGTGTCCACACCCTGGGGGGTCTGACCCTGTGAGAGACAGCAAGCCACAGCTGCTCCATGTGTATCCCCTGTGCTGAGGATGTGACTTTCTCCTGTGGAAAAACTGAGCCAGCTATCAGGACACACTGACCAGGACACCACAGGAGTCTTTGCTCCAGGGACACCTGCCCCATACCACATGCAGGGGAATGGATTATGTAGGGGCATTTCTCCCTGTCAAAGGACCAGGAGTGTCACTCACATTAGGGGCAGGGCAGCTGCGTGTGACCTCAGGACAGCTCTAGCCCTGACTTCTGGGCCCTGACTCAAGTTATCTCCAGTCCTGACCACTTGTCCTGACCTTTGTGTCACCCCACAACCAGGGTTGTCCTTCTGCCTCACACCTCCAGTTAGTTATTCCTCTGTGTCTCAATTCACTCTTTGAAACCTGGGAACTATAGGTCAAGCCGTTCCCCTGGAGCAGTCCTTCCAAGTTTTCTAACTTTGCCTCTTCTTCCTTTTTTGCCACCTGGATCTTGGTGAGCAGAATTGTGCTTTGGACCGAGCTGGCCAAGGTTGCCCGGAAACAGGGTGTGTGGGATGTCTGTCGCACAGCAAGCCGCTTCTGCCTCCTGTACGACAACATCAAGTCCAGAAAGACTGAGAAGCAAAAGCAAGGTATGCACCCCCACACTGTGTCTACCCTGCACGTGGGTGAGCTGAGCTTCGGGGCTTCCCACACTTCTGGTGGCTGTGAAGTCACAGCACCGCCGAGCCAGCAGGTCCCACCAAGGGACACCAAGCGGAGGCTGCAGCTCAAGCTGACAGTCACCTCCTGGAAGGGCACTGGTCACACATTTGGGTTTAGTGGAGTCTTCACACAGAGGGCAGCATTTCTGAGTGCATATGTGGTGATATCTGTGGGCTCCACACCGACAGGCTCAGTCACTGAGGTTTGAAAATACAACCAAAACAAGCATCTATGACAAGCATGCACAGCCCGCTTCCTGGTTGTTATTCCCTAAGCATTGCTCTCTTAGCAGCAGTCCACACAGTGTATACATTACAGTCAGTGTTACAGTCAGCTAGAGACAATTTAAAGCTGGAGGGCAGATCATGTGGGCCATGGAACCATTTTGTAGAATGGACTGAGTACTGAGGGCCTCCATATCCCTGGAGTTCCTGAAGTCAGTCCCTGGCAAGACTTAGTAATGGGTGCACTTAGAGCTGACTAATAATGATAATGATGTTAAGAATATAAGGTTACAGCCACCCATTCAGGGCCACTTCAGTCTGCCAGTGTGCCTGCTTGCTACAGGGACCATCATCACATTGAGACCCCTGCCCATGCTTCTTCCAGGTCTCCTCCATCCTACAAGGACCTGGGCAGAAGCTCAGTCAGGGGGTTGAGGGGTTGAGGGGGGGATTGCTATGGATTTGTTTGCCAGAAAAGAGGCCATCTTTCCCCACTGCTATTCCCTCAGGAAGGAGGAAGAGAGGCTTCGAGGATTCTGTGCATGATGGATTCGGGGGCCCCTCTGAAATGTTCTTGTTGAGGCAAATGTCACCTGACCTGCTGCGGAAGATAGCGGAGGTGGGGTTCATCAATGCCGAGGTGCGTCACAAGGGTCTCTCTTGTCAGTGTCAGTGTCAGTGTCAGTGTGGCCATTAACATACCAGAGAGATTTGTTGTCGGGCTCAGCTCTGCACATGCCCACCCATGCTAAACTGTATGCTAGGGAAGAGAAATATCAGTTATTGGAAGATTGCAAGAGAAAAGTGCCAATTGAAATGCATTGTGGTATGCGTTGGTGTAAACTTTTTGTGGGAAATAATTTCCAAATTCTGAGTACAGAGCTACATAGATTGAGAAGGTTGTCATCATTCTATTTAGGGATTGAAATTGGAGCCAACTTTGGAAGCTCTTGAAGGAGATGTAATCTCTGCTGTTTGCCTCTGTGGGCCCAGCAGAGGCTTAGGCTGGATCTTGGCCACAGCTACAGCAAACCTGCTCCCTTGCAGATGAGGACACTGAGACCCAGTGTTGGCCCTGCCCAACGCTAACCAGATGTACTGTGACCCAGCTGCATCCAAAGCCCTTGAGTGTGAATGCTCAGCCCTGTACCTGAATCAATGCCAGAGGTGACAGTGGTGATCTGTTGTACCTTCAGAATCCTTGCAGCCACACAGGTCTTTCCCTTCGTCTCACTCAGTGGGCACAAGGCAGAGGATGGGGCACTCACTAGCTTAACCCACGAGAGTGTCTAGAGACACAGCAAGACCAGAAATGACCCCTGTGCTCAGGGAGGAACTGCCAGATGGCAGGGTCTGAGAGTCAACCGAAGGAGACTGGTGGCTGAGATTGACTGACCTGGGGTTTCCCCAGTGGGGATCTTGCCTAGCCCACTTCTTCCTAGGCCCCTCTTCCTACCAGGAAGGCCTCACAGCCTCGGATAGTGCAGAGCAGGTTTGGGAGGCTGCAAGGAGATGATCCCTGGAGAACATGAAGACTGTTCTGCTTACCTGCCAAGAGGTGATGAGTGTGGACCGCTTTTGAGATGGGTCTTCTCTTCCCATGAGGTGTGAAGTGACAAGCTGTTGAGGCAGGCAGAGTCTGCGGGTCCAGTCTGTGCTCTCTCCACTTAAGTGTTTGGCTTTTTCAAAAGCAGAGCTTCAAGAATGGGGTTAGGCTGTGTGTGTTCCCAGAATGGGGTTAGGCTGTGTGTTTCCATGACCTCTCTGGCTATGTGCTTCCTCACAGGCCACTGTCCACTTGCTGCGCTCAGAAGGTGTGGAACTGAATGACCAGGCCATTCCCCCTGAGGACTTGAGCCAGCACCCAGCTGGCTATGTGCCTGAACCCCCAGAAACCAATGCTGAGTGGATCACTTACAGGTTGGCAGGGGTCCCAGACACTATGTAAACAAAAGATTGGAACAGCTGCCTCTCTTGCCCAGGCCTGGTGTCCCAGCTGTGGATGACGTAGGGTATACATGCCAGGGCCCAGGCTGTTTTCAGCCACAAGGTAAAAGTAACTTAGACAAGTCAAAAAAATTGTAAAACAAAATAGGGAAAACATGCAACAGAGACTTCAGCATCTCACAAAATCTAAAATCCCACTTGGCCCTTGACAGGAAGAACTTGCCCGCCTGGGCTGGTTGGGGAGAGCTGCCGCTGTCCTACCTACTGTGCTAAGTGACTACATTGCTCTGCCCTAGGTACCCAGCAGCCTGTGTGTGCTGGGGATAGGTACAGCTTCAGAATGGCTAGTAGCCAAGGGGTAAGGGCAGCCACAGGGGTGACAGGAGGTGGCCTGAACAAGGCCTTAGGCCAGCAGCTCCTCCTCAGAGCAAGGAGCAGCAGGGCTTGTGAGACCTCACACCATGGTAGCAGCAAGAAGCAGCTTCCAGTATCCAGATGGGAGGCAAGGACAGATTGGCACAGCCTGGGGATATGGCAAGGGCTGGCTAGGCCCAGGTGGGATCAGGGGCCTTTGTAGATGGTTGCATAGAGGGAACAGGACCAAGAAAGTCCCTATAGAGTCCGTCTGAATTCCTGGGCTATACAGAGAGCCTGGAACACCCTTCAGGCCTGAACAAGGTTGTCCAGGAGCACCCACACTTGCACCTGCAGTGATGTGTGAGAAGGAGAGGGTGGGGGACTGGGTGTCAATCTGACTGCTGCATGGTGTATTCTTATAGAACCTGGATAGAAAGCCTGTCGCAGTATGCCATGAGCAACTGGCTGCGTTCTGCAGAAATTGGGCAAGAGCTAGGAGAAACCTGGATCGTGCAGAATGCAGTGGTCTACGTCCTGAACCACAACCGTCATCTCATCTTGGCTGGTCGGCAGAAGGAGCTGGTGGATTCTCTGTACCACCTCTTGAACACCATCAAGGCCACTGGACACAATGGGTGGGTATGGGTACCACATCTCTTCACGGGCATGGAGTCATGACACTCACAAGCTCACAGGCTTGTTCACGGAAAGGGCAATGGGTCTACAGGGAGACTAAGAGATGGGGCTAGGGCCTGTGCTCAGAGGACACAGCCGGATAGCCCAGGAGTCTTGCACTTGTGCTGCCCCTGCTGGTACTGCTTCAAGCCACTGCAGAGAAGTCTGCTGAGGCCCAGTCACTTGTGTCAAGTGGTGCCTTGGTCATCTCGCCTTGGGCTTGGGTTGGGGCAGGTTGGAAATCCATAACTATCTGCCTCTTCTCTCTAGATGGATGAGAACTTAGACTAATGTTTTGCCAACAGAAATTAGAAATCTAAAAGCATCAAGTTGGGTTGGGTCAAAGTTTTATCCAAGATTAATATTTAATTTATTTTTTGTTGGTTGGAACAATAAGTTTTTATTGCACCCAATAATAATCAGGATGCTGGAATGAGTTAGAGAGTGGCAGTAGAGCCAGGGTGGTGTCACAAACCTGAAATTCCTGCATTCAGGACACTGAGGCCAGAGGATAGAGTGTTTTGGTCAGCCTGGACCACATAGTGGGACCGTGTTTTAAAAACCAAACCCAACAAAGCCAGAGAACACAGCAACATGTGCATTATGACTATAAAGGAAATGGATGGTGAAAAGAGTAACTGCTCGGCCTTCTCACAAGTGGTGCTGCGGGATTCTGCACATGGCCGACTCCTGCCCTGCCCCAGCTCTCACAACGCTCATGTTGTCCTCCAGGGACTCGGTCATGCTAGCCACGCTCTGCAGTGCCCTGGCTCGAGGCCTGATCATCAGCTGGATTCCCACCCAGACACCTGAAAAGTTGAAAAAAAATGTACGCCCAAACCTCGTTCATGCTCCCCTGGAGTCGGTAGCCATGTCTGAGATCAGAGCAGCAGTGGAGGTTTGACCATCCTGAAGCCTGGGGGAGGGGAAGCGGGGGGGGCATGAGGCATGGGGCATGGAACAGGGACGTGGGAGGGCTCACTGCCTGGATACAGACAGCCATGGAGAGGGCCAGAGGAAGCATGGTGTCCTGGGCACACATGGGCTGGCCAGTGAGGAAGGTTGGGGAGGGACAGCTGCCTAGACATGGTAGGGATGGTGAGAAAGCCTAGGGTAGAGACAGTCACCTAGATGCAGAGGGGTGGGAGCAGAGTGGGTACCTAGATGCAGAGGGGTGGGAGCAGAGTGGGTACCCAGCAGACCTGAGAGCAAAATATGGAAGCTTCTGAAGGTTCCTGGCAAGACAGGGAAGAGCTGCTCTGTGGGATGGGGAGGAGGGGGATGGCAGAGATGGCTAGGAGGTAAGGCCAGCTGGGAAGTGAGGGTAGAGAGGGGCCTGAGACACTGGCATCTGGGATGGCCAAGAGGCCGCCAGCTGGATTGGGGCCTCCACTTTTACTCTTTCCAGGGCAGAGAACAGAGTATAGAGCTAGGCGGGGACAGTTCCTGTGACACTGGGAATGGACACCTGCTGCTTGTGAACACAAATGCATCAGCCAATAAAATGTCAACACCCAGTGAAGGACTTGCCCTATGAAGTTTATCTCCCAATAAAAGTGGATTTTATTGTGGTGATCCACACTGCAGGAGGAAAACAATGTTCTTGTTTATGGAGGCCCTGAACATTCTGTATTCTACCAGCCAATCTGACTCAAAAGAGTATTTTTAAATGTGGGAGGAAAACTGCTTCCACCTGAGTCTGGGTCTGTCAGAGCCACTGCAGAAGCATGTGGGACTTGGGTGCCTATGGGAAAAGAAGAGAGAAGGCAGGGGGTACATGGCACACTCAAATGTCCACACCCAAATAGACAGATGAGGTCAACAAGCCAGCCCTTTGCCAAACATGTCAAAGTCCCTTCTGGTACCTGGGCAGGGCAGGGCAGGGCCTGTACCTGTGCCTGTGGCCACTGAAGATGCCTAGCAGAGAGTTCTGGGGATCAGTATGTGCAGAGATCAGAGTCAGGAGAAGGCTATGCTTCCTTAGGGCCACGTGAGGACTGCAACCTGGGCTAGGCTCCCAGTGGGGCTGGAAGAGAGGGAGGTGAGCACAGTCCAGCCTGGAGAGGTCACATCAGGGTTCAGGTCTGCATTCCCAGATGAGATGAAGGAGCCAAGCAGGGGGTCTGCAGGAAAGATCCCATGCTGGAAAAAGAGGCAGATGAGGAAGGGAAGGGGCTGGTGTGGCCATGGATGTGGACAGAGGGAAGAACTTCTCCCATAGACTTAATGCCACCCAATCCAGTTACTAAAAGATGAACATGGAGCCCAACTGTGACACAGCAGGAAAGCTCGGCACAGTGGGGAGCAGGGAGGCCAGTCACAGAAGGTGATGGTGTAAAAGAACATCCTACCTGTCACGGTGGGATGAGGGAACAGTGGGAGACCAGGCGCCCTGGCCTAGCTATAATCAGTGTTGCCCAGAGCTGTCCGGTATTCCTGTGGAATGCAACCAGACTGCAGGAAGTTTGTCTAGGAAGGATGGAAGGGGTGGTGGGGAAGGACTTCTGCACTGTGGACTGATGTGCCACCTGCATGTTCTGTGAGGACCAGGGCTCATGCTGGAGCTTAGAGTTTGAATGTCCCCCCGGAGTGAGTAGTTACTGTGCCAGGCCAGGCTGTGAGCAGTAAACCACATGTAAAGTTTAGCCCACTAAAGGTGAGCGAACTGAGGCACAGAACTGAGAAACTTGCCTTTCACATGGCCATAAAGGAGGAGCTGAGGGCAGCAGCCTTTCAGGGTGGCACATGCCCTTCACAGCCGGCACATGGTCCTTGGTACCCACACTCAGGACCAGTGCCTTTCACAGTGAGGCATGAGACCTTGCTCGGCACCCAACTCTGTCTCTGACCTTTACCAGGTAGTGACAGCCCTGTATGTGTGCAGTGATCATTCAGGGCATAAGAGGGGATAGGGTGCCCAGGGGAGTAATCCATTTCCTGCTCTGATGGGCATCTACTGAACTCCCAGAGCCCTCCAATAGTTTGAAGCCTGGACCCCAGGACAGTCTAGATAAGAGCTATGTCCTTACATGTTAAAATAGACCTTGGTTCAAGGCCCCCTCTTAGATCTGAGTTCTGTAAAGAAGAACATTCTTGTTTCAGGTCTGTGAGTTTGCGCTGAACCTCACCAATGGAAATGAGCCAGAGGAAGTGATTCCTACCAGCGTGCGCCAGCAGCTCATCTCCACCTGGGTGAAGGCCAAGCAGCTGCTACAGCAGCAGATTGGGCCACGGCTTGGCGTGGCAGAACAGGTGGGCACTGTGGACCCCTTGGGGCAGTGGGACCCACAGACCGCCCTTTCTGAAGGTCTCATCATGATCCTAGACATGGCTGCAGTTCCTGGATAGGGAGTATTTCCCCCCAGGAAGGTCTGAGGTTGTTTTGCCCCGTGAAATCGCCAGGGCACAAAGCCTCCACCAGTCTGAGTTCTGGGCCTCCTCTTGGGGCTGCCTCCCCTCAGTGCCACTTACTGACAAAGTCATCTCTTTGGCAGGATGCCAGGGTCTTCCCAAATTGAGAGCACAAACAGTTGTGGGAACAGGGTCTAGGAGAGGGGAAGGAGCAGTGTGAGCTCAGGGACCCCCGTGATGACCCTGACCTGCAGCAAGTGGGCCACGGGAGGAAAGCAGAAGGAAAAGGAGCAGGGGTGGGCAGAAGGCCCAGGAGGGATATTTAGGGTTCAAGGCAGAAGGGGTTAGGGGACATCCCGGCGTCCAGCAGCCTCTACGCTAGGACTCGGCAGCCCTTTCCCCACCGCCAGTCCTCCTCGCTGGCCAGATAACACTTCTCTAGCATCAGGCTGTATAGATTCCAGACCTTCTTCTTACCTAAGAAGATAGTGTGGAGGCTGATAGTAGCCCAAGGTGTCAGCATTCTGAATGCTGTGGTCTGGCTATTCCATGAGACTAATGCTATACAAAGTTAACTCACAGACAGTACAGATCTCTACAGCCTTCCTTCCTCATGGCCCGGGCAGCTGGATACTCTGATCTTTCTGTCCCTCCAGAGTAGCAATGAGGACATCAGTTCCGTGACCAGAGTCCTTGTCGCCCTTGAGATGTACTCATGCAATGGGCTGGGCCTTATGGACTTCACTGTGCCCTCCCTAGCCCAGGTGAGTGTCCTCCAGTATCCTAGGAGGTGAGTCCACAGAGAGGCCCCGTCCAGAATGATGAGAAACCTGAGGCTTAGGGTCTTGTGTAAGGTCAGAAGTTAAACCCACATCCACACCCATAGCACAGCTCCCCCTGCCTCCCCGCATGCAACTCTGGCTTTGGCTTGGAGCATCCGTTTATCCCAGTGTGAGGAAGATGCTCCTCTGAACGGCCCTTCTGTGTCCTCTTCATCCCAAGTCCTCAGTACAAGCAGAGGTATACATGGAGACAAGCATCCCTTGTCCTTGGTCTGGAGATGATCCCTACGTGGTAGGAAAGCTGTCAGGATGATGGAGGCATCTCCCGCAACCGAGGGCAGTAGCGAGTTTTGTGCTGCAGCTGGGCTTCACAGATCCATGTCTACATGCATGTCAAGCCATGTGCAGGTCCCATGGGGTTGATGGAACTTACCAGGCAAACAGCATAATCACTACTGTGGGCTACAGGCTCCTGGAAAGTCACTGTCACTAATGTGATGTACTTCTCCTCTGTTGCCCACGCTTGGAAGTTGGTGAAAATGACTTCTGAGTGCACCTGGTCGGAACCCCTGGTGGAGCTGCAGACCCTGACACGCCTCACCCATTTTGCCTACGTGGCTCAGGACCACGAGATCACTATGGCGTGCTCTCAGAATGCCACACAGATGGGCCTTAAGCACCTGAGTTCTTTTGAACAGTAAGTGATCTCCACAGCGGTATCCTAGAAACGTATAGTAATATTCCCAGATGAGCAGGTGTGCTGAGCATGTTGCATGTGGCAGAGCAAGAGGTACAGCCGTGCCAAGCAAGGGATGGCTGTCAGGAACCTGATTGCTATGGTCCTTCAGCTGCTGGCTCTGTGTCCTCCAGGACAGTGCAGTGAGCGGGGCCACAGGAAGGAGGGCGCTGAAGCCATACATGCCTCAGCAAGAGGTATGTGCAGATAGCTGTCTGTGGGAGAAAGCTAAGAGCTGATGAGTCTTTTAGTTCAGGCTGCTGTGATAAAAGACCACATCTAGGGAGGTCTAGACCACCTAAGCAATGAGGATTTATTGCTCATGGTGTAGAAGCTGGATGTACAAGTACAGGACATGGCAGTCAGTGTCTGGTGAAGGTCACTGCCTAGTGCAAAGAAATAACTAGGTAACTTCACGTGGTGGAAGGGGCAGGCAGCTCTCTGGTCCCCTTACAAGTGCAGGAATCCCATCTTGAGGTTCTCACCCACACTTCCAAAACCTCCCAACAGCCCCTCTGCTCATTCTATCACCTGGGGAGTTAGATTTCAGCTTGTGACTTTAGGGGGCACGTGGTTCTCAGATCATACTCCATTCCTGATCCAGACAGCTCTGTCAAGGTGATTTCCAAAGGACCCAGATGCACGCTATTTGAAACGACTTAAATAGGGGATCAGTGGAAGGAGCGTGCCCTCTGACAGGCCACTGACTAGCTTGTTGGAGCACAGGAAGCTGCTCTTGAAGTTCTCCAACTGCAAATTGCCAGTCACCAGGTGTGGTGGTTTGAATGAGAAATGTCCCTGGAGCTCACATAGTTGGACAGTTGCTCCCCAATTGGTGGTGCTGTTTGGGGAGGTTTAGTAGGTGCAGCCTTGCAGGAGGAAGTATGTCACTGGGGGTGGACTTTGAGAGTTCTCCTAGCCTTGCCCAACTTCCAGTTCCATTTTCTGCTTCCTGCACGTGGATGGAAATGTAACCAGTTAGTAACGCCCCCCTCACCCCACCCCACTCCCACCTCCTGCACACACACACACACACACACACACACACACACACACACACACACCGCCATTAAGGACACATCCTCTGGAGCTATAAGCCAAACTAAACTTTTTCTTCCACATGTTTTTGATCATGGTGTTTTCTCACACAGCAGAAAGGTAACTAATGTTGCTTTTCCCCTTGCTGTGACCAAATTCCTGATGGGAGGCAATCTAAGGGTGGAAGGGTTATTTTTGTCCAGCATAGAGGGAAGGCATGGTGGCAGGTGGCTCCATCATGCCAGAAGTGTGCATCTGGGACCCTTCGTCTCATGTCTTAGTGGAAAAGGAAGTGGAGAGCAGACAGGAAGAGGGGCCAGACTATGAAACTTGAAGCCCTAGCTTTAGTGACTCACTTCCTCCAACAAGGCTCCACCTCCTCAAGTTTTACAACTTCCCGAAACAGCACCACCAGCTGGGGACCAAGCATTCAAGCACATTAGTCTGGGGGCACTATTTCACATTCAATCGGCAGCACCAGGGCAGCCCTGGACACTCCCGTCTTCGCTTGTAGCTTCTGCAGCGTTCCACTATGATCAGAGGGCTTAGTCTTCCCCCTCCCTGAATATGGGCTGTTGTTAAGGGGTTGTTATCACAAACAGGCACGCGATCAAGACCATTTTTCTTGGGGTGCTTCGCTTCCTTCTGGCTTCTTTCCTGAGTCTAATTATGCTGAAAGATAGAGTCATGACCCAGGGCTGTGAAGGTGCTTCCTTTAGTCAGTGGCCAGTTTGGTCATTGGTCACCGAATCCAGAGTTCTCCCCGTGCCTGTCCCCGTTCTCGGAAGGAAGGCGTAGTCTTTCTTCTCAGTGGGAGGTGGCGCTATTCCCAGGTGAGGAAACTGGGGCGGACAGAAGGTCTGGGACTGAGCCTGCGATGCTTAACTGTAAGCACCTTCTTCAGCAGGGTGAGGCTGGGGAGCTTCCGGGTCAGCTGACCTACCTATGGACCCCTCATTGACAGCACCCTTTGAGGGGGTGTGGTCTGTACATCTTCTTTGCCAGTCTGGAATAAGCCACAGATGTTGCACAGCTGGAGTGAGTGAGGAAGAGTAGGGAGCTTCCATGCAGAAACAAAGGAGCTGAACATAGCCGTAATGGAGCCTCAGCCCGTTGCCCTTCTGCTAGCAGTAGAGGTGTCTCACCATGAGTGGGCAGGTCTTGGTGGCATTTCCACTCATCATCCCGGTCAGAGGTAGAGGTCATTCTTTCCCTAAGTCCACAGTAAGAAACAATTTGCTACCATGTGGAAAGTGCCTATGTGTGCTGGTGCTTGGACAACAAAGCTGTGGAGGAGCTGGTCCCCAGGGACGTGCAGGGCATAGCTTGCTGCCACGTAGGCAGGGACAGAAAGGAGAACGGCATAGATACATGACTGCCTATGAGACATCTGACACCAGGTGGGGACTGAGGACTCCTTCTAGAAGTCTCTGTTTCTGACATCTAGGTCCCCAGATGTGGTCACCTCCCTCATTCACTGCTAAGATCCCACTACAGATGAGCCAGGCTGGGTAGAGAGCTGCTTATGATGGTTATAGTCCATTGTCAACTTGATTAGATTAAGAAGTACCTGGACATTATTGAGGCATACCTTTGAGTGTTTCTGGGAGGCTGCATACGGAGAGAATTAACTGAGTTGGGAAGAACCACCAAATGCAAATGGTAACATCCCACTACCTAGGGTCACAGACTGAATAAAAAGGAGAAAAGAGAAACCTCTTTCTACTTCCTGACTATGGATGCAATCTGATTGTCCACCCTCTGTTCCTGCCACTGTGTCTTTGCCAGCATGATGGACCCCCATACCCTCAAACTGTGGGCCAAAATAAATCCTTCCTTCCTTAAATATTTCTTATCAGGAATTTTTTCACAGCAACAAGAAAAGTAATACAGGACACTGATACCAGGGAGTGGTATGATGCAGCTCATAGGCCTTTGGAAACTGGTTTGTAAGAGGAGTGTGGAAGAATTTGTAGCTATGGGCCAGAGAAACCCTGGACTTTTGTAAGCAGAGATTAGTGGTCCATTCTGGAAGAATAAAATGCTGAGAGAAATGACGGTAGTGGAGGCCCAGCTCATGAAGTTTCAGAGAGGAACAAGGATTTTGCTGGGGACTAACCTAGAGCCATTTCTGTTGCGTTCTGACAAGAAGCCTGCGAACTTCAGCTAACAGAATGTTACAGCTTAAAGTGGTGTGTTTGTGTGTCAAGTTGACAAGAGATAGGCTTGTGATGGTTAATTTCAATTGTCAGCTTGATCGAATTAGGAAACACCTAGGGAATTGATGAAGCACACCTCTAGGCTTGTCTGTGAGAGAGTTGTTGGAGTTTAGCTAAGAAGAGAAGACTCACCCTAAATGTGGGTGGCAACATCCCATGGGCTGTGGTCACAGACTGAACTAAAAAGTGAGGAAGGAGGAAGTCATCTGAGTACCAGCATTCTGTTTTTGGATTGCGGATCCAGTGTTGCTAGCTACCTGTATGCCTTCCCCAGTGTGCTGGATGTTAGCCCCTCAACCATGAACCAAAATAAACCCCCTCTTCCTTAATTGTTCTTATCAGAATTTGGTCACAGCAGTGAGAAAAATAATTAATAGAATGCCTTTTGGTGTCTTTGTCCTAGGTGGCAGGCTTTACTCACTGAGCCACCTCACAGGCCCAGACCTTGAGTTGGAAGGGGCGTCATCAAAAGGAAAGAGTGGCTGAAGTCAGCTTATCATGATAAGAGCTTTTCAGGGAAGACTGACAAGACCCCAAAGTAGAGGCCAGATTCAGGAGGTGACTGCAGACCAGAGCTGGCCGAGAGGGTCAGAGTTAGCCCCATGCAAACACCACTTCCACCATTCAAAAAGTATTCTTAGAAGAAAGTAACAAGTGGGCACCTCTGCAGTAAGGGTTGGTGTGTGTCATATGTGCTGCTGCGTATAGCTGTGGCCTTCTTGGAAATGGGAGGAGAGCTGGGCACAGCGCCTGGCCAGGCCAGGATGGTCTTCCATCAGGAATCCCTACATCAAATCTGATTTTTAAAGGAGATTCCTGTAATGAATAAAACAAAAGTACACACACAGACAACAGGGAACAGAGTCATGTAAGGCTTCAGACTCATTCCCCCCACCCCCAAAGGACTTCTGAAAATCATTTGTAGACCACTGTTGCCCCCTCATGGGGACTGGTGCCATTGCACCCTGCTAGCTATACCTCTCTTCTGGGTTGTGTGTGTAGTTCTGTATAACAAAGATCAACATTTCCAATTGTCAGTCCCCAGGCAAGGTCACCATCTTCTTCACACCCACCCAGCATCTATGAAGGTGGTTTCAGCTATCACACAGCCTCAGTTTCCTCTTCAGACCACACAGTCCCATGGCATAGCAGGTCCTTGTAGGCCAAGGATCAATAGTTTCTTCCACTGGCTCCTTGGAGCAGACACAGCAGTCAGTACCTACAAGCAAGTACTTGCCTTCCAGGACCTCAAGACCTGAAAGGACCTTCCCAGAACCAGCATATCACTCACCAAAGAAAATTGGTGTGGGCTGAGCTGCTGGAACTTGTCCCCTACAGTACTGTGTGGCCTGTACTGTGTGTGCCTAGACCACAGCTGTGCTGGATTTGGAAGCCAGAAGAATATCAGAGGGGCTACCATGCTGCTCTGAAGGGGCAGTGCGGTGTGTGTGCCCCACTAACTGTAGAGTGCATACCTCCTGGAGCAGGGCTTCTTCTTGAGTTCAGGAAACAGAGCCTGGCTGAGGGCAGGGCCCAACAACAGCTGGCTCTGCCCACCCATTGCTACATGGAAAGCCATCCAAAACTAAAAGCCATGAGAAGTCTGTCTCATAGTTCTGTGGGTTGACTGGACTCAGCCAGTTAGTTCTGGTTTGGTGTGTCTCACAAGGGCACTAAAGGACCCATCAGCCAGTTACCCACAAGCCTGATACCCACATCCCCAGATGTTTCCTGTGGACAGGTATCCCCAGGATGCTCTCCATCCAGGAATTGCTGTGGGCCTTGCTGTGTAGCATCTCTGAGCATGGTAGCTCTGAAAGGCCATCCCCACAGTGAGTGTCCAGGACACCCAGGCCACACATAGGCACCTTAACTAACATGGCAAGGAAGACTTCAGAAGCCTGGAGTTGCTTGTCCTGCATCATCAGTCAGTGGGATGAGCCCCGGGGGCACAGGAAGAGGTGGAGATGTGCCTCCATCTTTAGATGCACTTACAGAGCTACAAGTAAAAGAACAACATTCACAATGAGGAGAGCCTAGCATGTGTGACCTCCCGCATCTCCCCTGAATTGCTCTGTGTCCTCTCCAGGACTGATGTCAAGCTGGCCGCAGAAATGCTGTGCACTGTGTCCTACATCCAAGGCCGGAGCATTGTGGAGAACCTGAAGGGCAGAAAGCAGCTACGGCTGGCAGCAGCCAAAGCCTTCCTAGAGAGTGCCAGGTATACAACTGGGGGGTGAGGTGCTGGGCACCTGGCAAAACTGGCCACCACAGTGTCACAGTGATGCTATGGGATGTGATTGAGGCCTAAGGAAGGAACCAGGTGGTACCAGCTGAGCGGTTACCAGGACTGGCAGGAGGGTCCTTAGGTAGTCAGGGGTCTAAGAAGTCTGAGCGGTGGGCAGGTAGACACAGCACGGGCAAGCTCAGGACAACCCTGTGATGTGGACAGCACCTGGCCCAGGCAATTTGCTAAGGAGGAGGCCCAACAGGCCTGTCCCTCCACTGTGTCTATTCAGAGCCAAAAACACACTACTCTGATTTCCCTCCTAAATCCAGAAGCTTCTGGGATCAGATGCCCCATCAAGAAGGGAAAGGGGTAACTGTGTAGCGTGAGCAGCTTACATCTCACCGGATGAGCCATGTCATTTCAGGTTTGGGGGCCTGGCAGGCAGCAATTCCCTGGTGATGTTGGCTGCCCGGTACTACTGGAACACCTGGCTCCCACTTCTGTCTTCAGAGGGTAACAGGAGGAAGGCCAAGAGGTCCCTCCAGAAGATCATCAGCATCATCAACAAGACGGAGGCCATGAAGCAGGTGCCACAGAGACATGGGCCAGGGCCCTAGCAGGCTTTCCCCTCAGGACTGGCCAGACACAGGAAAAGAGCCTCGTAACATATATCCCACAGGACATGGCTCCCTTGGGGCATAGCTTGTGTGGGATACTACCCCTGTGGGACATGGCCTCCATGGGACACATTTTTACCTGCTAGATGACTTGACATTCCCAAGATCCAAGCTGGGCAGGAAGTTCTTGACCAAGCTCAGCGGCAGCCTCTAACCGTCTTTCCTCCTATCCAGAAGTCTCTCCTGTTCTTTTTTTCCTTTTAACTAACTTTTTTGGGTAGATTTTTAATTGAAGTTTTGTTATTTCATACAGAACATCTTAATCGTCTTTATACCCCCTTCCCCACTGGCACCCTCCCATAACCCCACACACCCTGGATTTCATGCATCCTGTCATTTGTGTTAAGGTCTATCAAGTCAAGTTAGTGTCCCCAGATGTCCCTCAATGCAAGTTCTTCCACTGAGGTCCAGTCAGTCTATCTAGAGTCCCTCCCTTTAAAAAGATCAGCTGTTCCTCACCCAGCAGTAATCAGTTGCCAATATTTCTTCAGCTAAGGTTGGGGCTGCCGCCCATTTTCACAGTTCTATGTGGGTTTTGTCTGCTTGAGTTTGCATGGGCCTTGTGCATGCTGACACCATTGCTGTAGGTTCGTATGAGCAAGGTCCTCAGGAGGCTGTGGGACTCTGTTTCCATGTGGTCCTGAACCTGGCTTTTACAATCTGCATTGTCCCTATTAGCTTCCCATTCCCAGTTTTGCTTCTCTCTTCCCTCTGCTGGTTTGGAGTTTAGTTTCTTCCTCTTTTTCTGGTATATTGAGAATTAAAGGTGGATTTCGGATTTGAGATCTTTTTTCCTTGTCAATGGAGGCATTCAGAGCTGGAAGCTTGCCTGCGACTACTGCTTTCACTGTGCCCCTAAGTTTTTTCTATTTTTCATTGTATTGATTTAACGTGTTTCGTGTCATTAAAAACAGCCAGATTCTGTTAGGGGAGTAGCCTGTGCATGGTATATATGGTATGAAGGATGTTGTCTGTATGGTAACTGTAGTATGTGTGGTGTGGTGTGGTATGTGGATGGTATATGTAGTACAGTATGTGGTATGTGCTGTACTATATGGTGTATGGGCAGTACAGTGTGGGTGTTTGATGTGTGTGTGGCATATTGTATGATGTATGTATATGATGTGGTATATGGTGTGTATGATGTGATTTGGTGTGTGTATGTGTCCTATGGTATGAATCTGGTATGGTATATATGCATATCAGTTACTTTTCCATCGCTGTGATAAAGCATCATGACCAAAGGCAACTTATAGAACATTTATTTTGACCCGTGGTTCCAGAGGGAAGAGTGCATCATTGCAGGGAGGGTGGCAGAAACAGGAACCTGAAAGGTCACATCTTTGATTGCAAACACCAAGCAGAGAAAGCAAAGTGGAAGTGGGACAAGGCTATATACTCAGAGCCTGCCCCAGGGACACTTCCTCCAGCAAGGCTGCACCTTCTAAACTTCCCAATTAGCACCACCTACTGGGGACCAAGTTTCAAATACTTGAGCCCATGGGGAACATTTCTCATTCAAACCACCACAGTGTAGTATGATATCATGTGTTTGTTACAGTATGATATGTCTGATATAATGTGTGTGGTGTGTTGTATGTCTGGTGTGGTATATATGTGGTGTGGTATCTCTGTAGCTGTGTGGTATTATGCTATGGTGTGGTATATGGAATGTTATATATGATATGGTATTATATGCATAATGTGGGGTGGTGTGTGTAGTGTATGTGGCATGGTGTGAGTGTGATGTGGTGTGTATGGTATGGTGTTATATGTATATGATGTGCTGTATGTGGTATGTATATGGTATGGTTTGTGCTATATGTATATGGTATGATGTATATATAGGCAGCATGGTACAAGATGTGGCGTGCATTAGGCATGTGTGCTGCGTGTGTGGTTAAACTTTTTGCGACGTGATATTTGTGAAATTTTACTGCAATTCCTGCATTTTGCTACTGGTACAGATAAAGAGCAAAATGGTGGAGAAACACGTTGGACCCCTCGAACATGTGGCGTTTGTTTGCTCTTTCTTTAGGAGACAGGAAAAACACTGCTTCTGCACCAGTGGCCCACGGCTGACTTCCAGAGTGGTGGAACATATCCTGAAGGTCAATTTCTCCCAGGTTGGTGGATGCAGAGCCAATGGGGAGGGGAGGGTTTGGAAAGTTTGAGCACTCCGTATAGTTCATCTTATGTCCTCGTATAAGGCACCTCAATCATGAGCACAGGTGACCACAAGTGCATCTGTTCATCATACATTACTTGATAAAGACCCTAAGGAAGACTGTTCTGTATGAGAAGGTGCCAGCCCAGGACCCTTTTTCCCCACCTGAGTGAAGAACCTTCATAATCCAGTTTCTTGGAGATGCTGGCAGATGAATCATATTGTTATGTTTTAGTCACGTTTTCTACCATAAAAAAATATGGAGATAAACTCCTAGGAGGAAAAGGAAAGAGAAACGCCACTCTGACCTTAGAATAATAGAATCATATTCATCACAAATTTAAACATACAAGAAAAATACAATTTTCTTCTCATAAGTAATCTTCCCTGTCAATCAAGAGCCTTGTGTGCATTTGGCAACTCTGCCAGCACTGCAGTATAGAATAATGGTACCTGTGTTGAATATGTTAGAACCTATTCACAGATAAAGTCGATTTAAAACATGGCCATATATGAGTAAACATACATTGTGTACTGAATCTCTAGAGTTTATAGTGTTTGCAAACACAGCAAGAAAAAAACTCAAAGAACAAGGTCTGGGAGGCAGAACTGGCCAAGCTTCTGTGCGGATGTGGTAGCTGTTTCAGCATCAAACAGCATCAAACAGAAGCTAGAAGTCAAGCTGTCATTGCCCTCAGGAAATACCACCAACTAGGTCAGAGATTTCATGATTTTAAAAAAACCATTCAAGAAGAAAAGCATCAGAAGATTGAGTTGGGCAAGTGAAACTTTTATGGAAAGGTGTATGCTTTAAAATAGATTTTTGGGGTTTTTTTTTGTTTGTTTGTTTTATTTTTTTGAGACAGGGTCTCCCCGTAGTCCCAGCTGTCTTGGAACTCACTATGTAGACCAGGCTGGCCTTGAACTCACAGAGATTAAAATTCCTGCCTCTGCCTCCCGAGTGCTGGGATTAAAGCGTGCGCCACCATGCCTGGCCTAAAACAGATGTTTTTTTAATTATTTATTTAATAACCGTATAATTAGAAGAAGCATTTCATTACAACAGCATTGATGTATTCAATAACAATTTCCAGAGCTAAGATGCATCTCTTTCAAAACTGGCTGTAAATTTTAGGTTTACAGTTGAATTGATACAGTTATACAATATTGTACGCCATATAACCCCTATAAGACAGAAAATTAAATGAGGTTTTAAACTTTAAAAAAGATCTCCATTTCATTATTAAAATACAGTTTCATACAGAAAAATTCATTTTTAATACAATTGACACGACGATGCACATGTGTTTCCAGTCTCTATATATCTGATTATTACTAGTCACAGTTGGTTACTTTCTGAGCTCCTTGGCATCTGAGCATGGATATAAAGTCATCAGGTAGATTTCAATGGTAATGTTTTTCACATCTACTAATTATTAAGGAGCAAATTTTTATGCTTTGAAGAATTATTTTTTTTCTTTTAAAAAAACAAAAAACCAAAAACAACCCAAGAAACTTGCAGCTGGTGAGAAGGCAAGGAAGGAATAAACCGTGTGGGAAACCCTCACACCCGATGTACCAGATGTGGGAAATTCTTGAGTCAAATGTGGCAGCAGAACTGTCAGATACGGTGGCACTCAGGTGAGGGAGGCTGCTGTCTAAGGACCCAGCCTGGCCCACCATAGCTTCCTTTGCCCAGCAGCAAGCACTCTGAGGCCTGCCTGGAACTAAGCCTCTAGGGAGGATGAGGCTGGAGGAAGCCCACTGTCCCACTGCTGAATGGCTTGGAGATTTGACAAGCAGAGTCTACCTTACACCTCCATTCATCGATTGGGAAAGCATCTGATGCCCAAGGGCATGTACATATTGTTCCTAGCTGCACCAACAGGAGTCTAGATCAAGAAATGGAGGCTTGACTAGGCAGGATGAAGACTAAGTACTCACCATGCATGGTGGCGCACACCTTTGATCCCAGCACTCAGGGGTACAGAGGCAGGTGGATCTCTGTGAGCCTAAGGCTAGCCTGGTCTACATAGTGAGTTATAGGCCAGCTAGGGCTAGAGGGAAATCCTATCTGAAAAAAAAAAAAAAAGAATGAGAACCCACACAAGCATCCCTCTGATTCTAATGTAGGTGGCCAGGTTCAGAGTGTGGAATCAAATAATGAAGGAACTATGGTGGTATCCAGGTACCCATTGTTGGCCAGCTTCTCCAGCCCTCCTGAATTCGAAGAGGGCTAGCAAAGCTACCAACGTGGGCAGTCCCCTTGGATGCCATCTCTTAGCCAGCATTGGGCAGAAATCATGGACATGTTTAATTATTGACACCACGCTCTATTCTAGAGAACTTAGCATTAGAACCATGACAAAGGGGAAAGAAGCCCCCGCTTACCACTGTCAGCAAAGTGTACCTTCATGCTCAGTGCCAAAATTTGCCCTGGACATGTGTGACAAGTTTGATGGCAAGACCTGGAATGGGAGGGGGGTTCTGTTTCCTCATAGTCATGTTATTTATTTTTAGATTAAATAAAAATAACAGGATTCCCAAGGAGAGAGAGGAGTTGGGAAGTCAGAAAGCCAGCATCCATGGCCTCAAGCCATGTGCTGCACAGCCCAGGGACTCCCTGAGACTCAGAATGATATCCTCAAAGCCAATAGAAAGAGACTGGACAAGGGGCTCTTGGGGCTGATTCTCCTCAGACAGAGGGTGCCTCGATCATGGTAGGCTTGCAGGCAAAGGCTACATTGGTCTACTACCAGTCTTGGAGGGCAAGTACTAGCCTTCTGCGATCTGTACATTAAGGCTCTGAATGGAAAACTCTGACACGGGATTTGAGGGGTAAGGGATGTGGAGTGAGAGGTCAGAGGGCATCAAGTCAGTTGACAAGGAACCGGCTGCCCAGTCCCTCTAAAGTCCCTTTCTCCTCCTTACTCCAGGGGCTGAGGATGATCTCACACTCCGTGCTGCCCTCTATAGCCTACTTTTCCACAGTCATGCTGACCAGAACGACTGGGAGATGGGCCTCAAGGTGCTGGATGAGGCTGTACAGGTGCTGCCCAGGACAGCCCACCACCTGTGAGTGCCCTCACCTTGGGCCCACCCCAGGGCACTTTCTGTACTGCCTCAGCTGGGTTCCCCCATGGTCCTTTTCCTCATCTTCCTAATAAGAACAAAATACATAGCATAAAACCCCAGCTCAGGCTCCATCTGGTCCCAGCCCTGTCAACAAGAACAAAGGAAGCACAAGTTCTAGACGTAGTGCGTGTGCTTAGTGCTTTTGCCATTCCCGTGTTGACCTGGCCCTTTCTTCTTTAGCTTGATTTTCAAACATATGGTTGTAAAGGCCAAGCTTGGTCAGAACTTTACCATGGAAATTCAAAAGTTCAAGGATGAGAGCGAAGACTATTTGGCACATATGTGGCATCGCCTGGCCCTGAACTCGAGGAATGTCTGCGGAGAACTCACCTGCTACCAGAATGCCATCCAAGCACTTCAGGTCTGTGTAGTGTCCGCATTGATGGTAGCTGGTGAATTCGTCTCTTAATTACAGAGATAATTATATGAAAGTCTTGAGGAGTGGGTACTTTCTGGGCAAGCTCAGAGGATGCCACTGTGGATGCCAACCCAGACTTAAGCCTAATGTCTGGGAAGTGTATTCTTTTAAACTCTTAAAGAAATACACTGATGATTTTACTCTTTGGTTAAACTTTCCTTTTGGGTGTTTAAGACCATACAGTTGGCCCAAATAAATCAATTTATGTTTACACTTAAGGTTGTTTGAGGATCTGTTCCTCAGGGGTCACATGGGCTTGGGAGGAGCCCCTGGCTCCTTTCTTTTACCAGTTCCATCTATGTGAAGATAAGTCAAAGGTCCTGCTTGACCATGGCTGGCTTCACTTGGAAGCATGGAGGAAATGATTCCTCTGTGTTAAACCTCTTCTTTGTAGACTGGACACTGGTTCAAGTCCATCCCATGGGGTCTCCATGGCCTCCCTGAACAAGAGGACAGGTAACTCTCAGAGTTACAGGACATTTTGAAAGATGTTCCTAAGCCCCCTGGAACTTAGTCGACCTTGGAGGGCAAGTGGCAAAAACTGTCCTTTTAAGTCCCTCTGATCACATTACTATAGGCCTCAAAGTATGTCTGTTAAACATCCAATAAGGTTAGTTCCACCAGTCTGGTACTTTTAATTACCATGTGCTATGTAGATAAAGCTTGGGTAAAAAACCAAATATTCTCAGATAAACCTTGACTAGATATGTATTTTGTTTCTTAGACTAGTTGACTAAACTACAACCTTAGAAAATTTAAGATTATGTGTATTAAGATATTATTTTTAATACATTTATATTAAGATATTATTTTTGTCTCATCCTTTATGTATCATAAAAAACCTACACAGACCTTCATCCCTTGCTTAGGCATTCTCATTTTTTTCTATTTTGGAAAATATCTCCATTCCCATATTCTTTTAATATTGTTTACATTCTCAATTTCTTTCTTTTTTTTTGATAATTATGAGACATAACATTAACAAATAAACTTTCCATCTGTTGTGTGAATTCTTTTCCTGGGGATACTAAGCAGTGCTTAGTCCCTTTTAAGGTCTTAGTGTCAAGCCAATGTTTGATTAAAGTTTTACTGGGGAACCAATGAATTTTCTGAGCTTACTTACAGAGATAACTGAGGAGTTGCTGAGGTGTATGTATGACCTGAGGTCTGCACACTGGAAAGCATTTACCCAGCATGGGCCATGCCTTCTCTTCCTAGCCTTCCCCAGATTGTATACTAGAGCCCTCCCCAAATCCAGGAGACCATGTGTGATTAGGGCTAAATGACATTCAGTTGGCTGGGAAGAGTGGCTGGATACTCTGGTGAGGGTCCAATGACCCTGCTTGGCCCTCCTTTAATGAATGAGCACAACCCTCATCAAGCCCAATTGTAATGATGGTTAGTGATCAGGCACTGCTGAAGTCGTGATGATGGCAGTTATTTCATGCAGTAGAGACTGCTGTACAGCATCATCTTATTAAAAGGATGTGGAATTTAAAAGGGTTTGGTGCTAGGATCCACATATGAGGGAGAACATATGTTGATTTTTTTTCTGAGTCTATGTTACTTCACTTAGTATAACAGTTTCTAGATCCATCCATTTACCTACAAATTTCATTATTTCATCTTTCTTTACTGCTGAATAGCATTCCATTGTGTAAATACTCTCTTATAATGGTCTGGATCTTTTGGGCGTCTGTTGTGATGTTTCCCCTTTCATCTCTGATTTTGTTGATTTGGATTTGCTCTTTCTTTTGGTTAACTGGGCTAAAGGTATGACTATCTTGTTTAGCTTTTCAACAAACCAGCTCTTAGTCTCATTGATTCTTTGATTCTATTTCATTGATTTCTTCTCTGATTTTTGTTATTTCTTCTCATCTGCTGGGTTTGGGTTTCGTTTGTTCTTGACTTTCCAGAGTTGCAATGCTAAGTCATTGATTTGTGCTCTTTCTGATTTTTTAATGTAGGCACTTAGAGCTATAAAATTCCATCTCAGGACTGCTTTTAAAGTGTCCCAGAGGTTTTGTTGTGTATTGTCCTTTTCTTTTAATTCCAGCAATACTTTTATTTCTTTATTAATTTCTCCTTTAATCCACTCATTTTTGAGCTTTATTGCATTGTGGTCTGATAGAATGCATAGAATTATTTCAACTTTTTGTGTTTTTTGAGGTTTTGTTTTGTGGCCCAGTCTGTGGTCAATTTTTGAAAAAGTTCCATGGAGTGCTGAATAGAAAGTGTATTCTTTGGTGCTTGGGTGGAATATTCAAAAGATGTCTGTTAGGTCCATTTGATGTATGGTATCATTTAATTCAGACGTCTCTCTGTTTATTCTTTGTCCAGTTGACCTGTCTAATGGAGACAGTGGGATATTAAAGTCACCTGCTATTACTGAGTTGGAGTTAATCTGTGTCTTAAAGTCCTGTAGTGTTGTTTTTATGAATTTGGGTGCACCAGAGTTTGGTGCATATATGTTAAGGATTGTAATATCTTCTTGGTTAACTGTTCCTTTGATCAGAATGAAGTGATCCTCCTTATCTCTTCTGATTAGTTTTACTTTGAAGTCTATTTTGTCAGCTAATAGAATTGCAGCCCCTGCTTGTTTCTTAGTGCCATTTGCTTGGAATATTCTTTTCCATTCTTTTACCTTAAGGTAGTGCCTGTCCTTGAAGATGAAATGGGTTTCTTGAAGACAGCAAACAGATCAATTTTGTTTCTTAATCCATTCACTTAGCCTGTCTTTTGACTGGGGAGTTCAGTACACTGATATTTAAGGTTATTATTGAAAGGTGTGTATTGGTTGCCATCATTTTGATTGTTGTTTGTGTTCTCTGTCTAATTTTGTGTTTCTCAATTATACCTTTATTTATTTTCTTTTGTTGACCCTGGGGTATAGTTGTTTCTCTCTCTGCTCTCTGTATTGCTTCAAGTATTCTTTGAAGGGCTGGTTTTGTGGACATATATTCTTTCAGGCTGTTCATGTCATGGAAGATTTTTCTTTCCCACTCAACTATAATATACATTTTTGCTGGGTAAAGTATTCTGGGCTGGCATCTACTGTCATGTAGAACTGGAAATACTTTGGTGAACTGGAAATACTTTGGTCCAGGCTCTTCTGGCTTTCATAGTTTGCATTGATAAGTCAGCTGTAATTCTGATGGGCTTTCCTTTGTCTGTGACTTCACAGCCACTATCCCGATGTAGATTGGAACCCACTCTCTCAGGCTGTCTGTGTGTACATTTTTTATGTGTGTTCTTGATTCCCTTGGGAATGTACCTAGGAGTGGAATCGCCAGGTCATTGTTGTGTCTCTGTTTAGCTAAAGAGGAGCTGCGAGGTGGTACCCACAGGAACTACATCTTTCCTTGGTATTGCTTGTAGCATGAAGTTTTTAATTGTGGAGAGGGCCAGTGTCTGTTTCATCTTTTATCATGTGTGTCTATGGCAAAATATCAGAAAAATAATTTGTAATCCAAGGTCAGGAAGATACATCTTGTGTTTCCTTCTGAAAGTTCTGTGGTTGTGACAGAAGTCCAGGTCACCCGTCTATTCTGAGTTAGTTTGTGTATATGGTGGAAGGCAGGTCCAGCCTCATTCTTTAGCTGTAGACTCCCAATCAGCCCTGTACCTCTTGGTTAAGGGATAAGGCTTCTATGCCTCCCCATGCGCCCCTCACCTCCCATATCTTCCCAGGCCTCCACACACTTGCATAGCTTTTGCCTAAGCCACCAGCAGCTTCTATGGCTCGTTCTTATCTCTCCAGGATGCTCTTCCCTCTTTCACTGGGGTTCAGGCACCACCATGTCACCTAGGACCCTGCTCTCTGCCTGGCGTTTATACCCTACCTGAGATCCCATGCCCCAGTACCCTGCAGCACCCTCTCCTCCCTTGAGTTTTGCTCCTCCCTCTCCATGAGGCCTGTACCTCCTGCCAATAACATCCCTGTCCTGATTGCTATGCATCACCAGGGACCACCACCTAACCCAAGTCACTTGCTTGTGTTCTGGGTTCTTACTCTAAGCCCTACTTAGGGGTAGGTATGGACCAGCCTCTTCTGGTGTTCATTCCACAATGAGTGGGTGCAGGCAAGCACTCAGAGGTTGCAGAGTCAGCAACAGAGATGAGAGCCATGACTCCAGTTCCTAGAGACTATGGGGGCAATGCCTTGAGGACAGGCTGAGGAGGAGGCCTGGGCAGGAAAGGAGTGTGCGGCAGGTCAGCATGCCATCTCTCGGCCCTGAGATTTAAGCTGCGCCTGGGCATCTGTTCGTCGAGGTAGCCTTTGTCTTGCACTGGTCATAGGTCAAGCATGTTCCATGCCAGGCTTTGGCTGCAGTTTTCCTGCCATACTTTCTCCTGGCCCCAAATGAACCATGGAAGCTGTTGGTGGCTTAGGCAAAAACTACACAAGCACAGGGAAGTGTGGAGGCCTCAACAGGGGGCTAATCCCAGATCCACCTTGCAGGTCTGCAAGTTGGCAAAGCTGTGCACCCTGCTCAGCATCCTCTGTGATGTAAGGCGGAAAGTTAGGAAATGCTTGGGCTGGTGGTGGCAGGCCGGGGGTGCCTACAAAGGGTGCAGAGGCCCCTGGTGGGCTTTGCCAAGCTCTCACTTTCCTGTCATACAATACTTCTATCCACAGTGAGCCTCGATGGCAAAACCTGTCTCCCTGGGTGGGGTCTCCATGGTAACTCTAGGCTGACATGAACCACCAACCTCTTGCTGCTGTAAGAGGTTTCTCTGAGGTAGTTCTTGGGGCGCTGAACTGATTGGTATTCGCCTTCATCATGCTTTTCTGTATTGACCCATAGAAGCCAGAGAGCAACTGGCAGAAGGTGGACTACATCGTGGAGTTCAGCCAGTGGATGTATTGTAGGCAGTTTCCTCTTGAAGATGTGGTTGCCCACCTTGAGTGGGCAATTGAGATCCTGCTATCCATGAAACCTGTTGAAGCCATCCCTGAGTCAGAGCCCAAGAAGGAAGGTGAGGGTTCCCATACCAGCTTCTCCTGACCCGTCACTCTGTGGACCCCATGTGGACCCAGGACAGCAGGCTGTAATGGAGGTGTTCCTGGGCCACCAACACCCTTCCTGGGGCAGACATGCCTCCATCCCAGGCTTTCAGGAGATAGGGCATAGAAAAGGGACAGAGCACAGGGAAAATGCCAGCCCAAGTTTCAGTGCCTAACCTACACAGCTGGGTACCACAGGCCTCAGATACTCAAGCCGAACTCGCTAGGGAGAAACCACAGCAGGAAGGGTTGTGGCCCCCCATTCTGACTATATGATGGTAATCTCTAAGGCTGAAGAACACCAGCCAGGCACTTGTACCAGTACCAGGTCCAAAGCCAACAGCCCCTTGCTGCCCAGAGAATGGGTCTCTTGTCTCTCAGACCCATGGAGAGAAGTCTAAGGCACAAGAGCTGCATGGGAGGTGGCCTTGATGGAGAAGCCCCAGTCCAAGACAGGCAGCAGTATGCCACTAGGGGCCCAGTGAAAGGCAGCTAACGGAATCGGAGCATGCAAGTCACCAGTCAGGAAAGAGGATACCCTGCAGGAGCCCAAGCTTGGCCATGCCCCCAGACTCACCCTCACCATACCATAGGGCAGTCCTCGCCTGCCCAGTTTCCCACAGAGAGTCCAGCGGCCCCAGCTGTGGAGATGGTCTCCTTGGAGCAGTTTCGAAGTGTGAGGCAGTTGGAGGCGCTAGCTCGCGTACACATCCTGCGGGCCCTGATGGTGTCACCTGGCTCCTTGGCCTATGAGGATGACTGTCTCATGGCCTACACCTTCCTCAGGCATATCTGGCAGGTGAGAGCATGCTGGAGATGTGGCACCACTTGGCAAAGGGCCCTGAAGACCCTGCCCTCCAACCCCCTAGGAGCAGACTCTGAGAAGACTGTTGCTGCTGTTTCCTTTGGTTAATTATAGCAGCACTGTTTTAAGAAGTCAGAGCCTTTACAAGTATTTTCTAAAGACCTTTGAGAGACAAGCACATCTCATTTTGCCCCTTTCAATTTCTCCCCATGCACTGAAGCACCTGCTAGCATCACTCTTGTACCTGCCCTTGAGGCTCCCTGAAGAGGGGCCCTATTGCTTCCCTAACAAACCCCAGCTGTGCTGCCCAGTCACCTCCAAAGCTGCCTCAGTAGAGGCTACTCACACAGAGTCCAGAAACAACCACTGCTTGAATTCTGTGCATAGCCATGGCTGGATCACAGGCTTCTAGACTCTTCTCTGTCCCCAGATTCCCACCCAGGCAGGGCTGCCTTCCTCCCCATCTCCTGCTCATCCTGTGGGGCCTGATTAGGTGGGTAGTTCAGGGTCATCTCTCATCCTTGGGGGCTGCACACATGCACCTGCCCAGGCCTCATGGACAGTTCCATTGAGACAGGCCTACCTTTGAAAGACTAGTTTTCCTAGAACCCCTGAGGGCCTTGGGGAACAGTAATGCCCCTCAGCTATGGAAAGGACTGGGCCATCTACCCCAACCCCCACTTGCTGAGGCCCAACCCCCTTCAAGGCTCCTCTCCCACACATTCTCCACCAGAGGCTTTAACTAACCCACTGTCCAGAGAAACGTCCTCTGTGAGGACCAGCTGTGCCACCCTCCAATGCCCCCATGTAAGGCCTGTTGTGAAGACACCTGTCTGAGCAGCCCCTAACTCATTGACAGTCTCACAGGGAAACCACTGCCATCATGTCCTGGTCAGACAACCCAGGAGGGGTGCTGCAGGGATGGTGCAGGTTTGCCTGCATGAAGCCCTGTGATATGGAGTCCAGCTGCTTTCCAATGGGGAAGCACAGCTGAGCCTAACATCTACAAGGGCACCCCCCGTATTTCGGGTCTAGCTCACTGACCAGGGTTCACTCTGGTAGGCACCCAGCCTTGAGCATGGCTGAGCAGCACCCTCAGATCCAAGAGCTACCTCCAACCAGGTATGAGAGGTGAGTACCTATTTTTAATGCTCCCAAATTGTGTTTCCTTTTCTCCAGATTTCCTTGATAACAGGAGGAAAACTGATTCCAGGAAGAACTCTACAAGCAGTCAGTTCACAATTGCTGTTACCTAAAAAAGAGAAGGAGAAGGGGAAGGCCAAGGACATAAAGCAGGTGTCGTTATTCACAGTCCCAGGTCTTCGCCTGAAGCAGGAGGGTGGAAGGTTGGGCCACAGAGTCTGCGTCCGAACCCCAAGTCCTCCACACTCAGGCTGGGACCTTATGCCCTTCCCATACCTTGGTTTCTCTGTAAGGTGCGCAGGTCTCCAGAGTCTGTGCCAGAAGTTTGCAGCCTGTCCTCTCCATACTGAGCCACAGAGGAGTACATCTCTGAGCTCTACTTTTGACAATAAACCTTGCTTTCTCTCCTTCAAAGATTTTGACCCCAGCTTCCAACAAGCAACCCGATGATGTCCCCACTAGCATAGAAGAATGGGCCTCCTACTCCTGCCCGGAGGAGTTGCTGTCTGTGTTCAAGCAAGACAAGAGTGATTCTACTATTAACTCATCCAGTTTCCAGAAGCCAGTGAGTAGATCTCATCAGTCAGCCAGGTCTTGCCAGGAGGCGGCAAGGCCACTCTCCCTCTCTTTATAGCTACAGCTGGCATTTCTGTTGCAGTTACCAAAAAGGGATGGACCCATGATACTGGGTTTTTACGGTGAACATTGAAAGGGAGCAGCTGTCACCTCAGGTCAGGTCAGAGACAGACACCACTGTTGGTCCCCAGAGCTACAAGACTCTCCCTTATCCACACTCTCCCCCTCTCAAACAACTGCCAACACGGGTGAGAAGACCCTCCTACTGCTTCATACCCGGGTACACATGCTGAGGTCTGACACCGCATCTGCCTTGCTGTCCTGTCCCCACTGAACAAGTCCCAACAGGTTGGATGGCTAGGCTCACAGGAATCACAGTATCAGCAGGGAAGAGGTCCCTTCTGGACACCTCAACAACCCCATGTGCACCGCCAAGGATACACAGCCTCTCCTCTCTGGAAAATCTCAATCTTGTAAAGATCTTCAAGATCACACACTTGGGGCATAACTGGATAGATCCTCACCCTGGTCACATCTGCACAGTCCCTTGACACATAAAGTCATGTGCATTGGTTCCAGGTATTGAGAGAGACTCCATGTTCTTAGGGACAATAATCCAGCCCATCTCCTTTTGCCTGGTTGGGGCTTCGCAAGAATGGAACTGTTCAGCGTATTCCTCTTGGCTCTGCTTTTTCCTTTTTCGGTCAGTGTGTTTGTAGGGTTCATGCCTTTTTGGGAACAGCACTGTCTGCTGCAGTATCTTCTTATCTGCTCACCTGCTAGTGGACATCATACTCATAGCCTTTGCAAATGAAGTGTCTGTGAACACTGGTGTGCAGGTAGGTGTTTCCTTGAATATGTGTGGACCAAAGTGTGAGGAACTTTCCAATGATGGTGAATATTGCCAGTTAGCAAATCACCTCCCAGGGAAATTGTGCTGGCTTCCATCCCTGCCTCCCGATGGGAGAGTTCATGCCTGCCCATATCCTTGTTAGTGGCTGCTGTCCACCTAGTGAGCATGGATGGCACCTACCATGTGTAAGTGGACACTCCCTGGGTGCCGTGAGGTTTGATGCCTTGTCTGTGTGTCCTGGCCATTCCTTTTGTGGTGTGTCTGTCCAGTATACTGCCATGATTTAGTAAGCTTTCTGTTTTCTTTATGGAGTTGAAAGAACCACCGGTCTGCTCTGAGGATGCTCAAACAGTCTTGTAATCAGCAGGTCTTGTGACTTGCCTTTCCTCCCACAATGGGATCTTCTGATGTGTGGAAATGTTAGTTTCAGTGTCATAAAAGTTAGGAATCTTTTTCCTTTTCGTTAGTGCTTCCTGTATCCTTTACGAACATGTTGTTTCCGTTTCTAGAGGTCATAGATTGTCTCTTTCAGTATTTTCCCAAGAGGTGAAAATATTCTCCACCTTTATAGCCTATTGTTAGATTTGGATTCTCAGTTCACTTCTCATGATCTCTATGTGCAGGGGTCAGGAGCAGCCCAGCCGTGCCACTAATCCTGCGTAGTGTGTCATAGGCCAGGCCACATTTTTGACAAACGTCTTCTTCTGGATCTTAGTCCTGTACCATCCCCTACCTCGTCCACCCTACAGTTTCCAGAGCTGATGTTTAGGAGAGCTCATCCAGCATCTCCGACTTTCATACATTAAGCCCAACACCACGGGAAGTATTAGCTCTTCTTTCTAGGTGCCAGTTTTAAAGCAGCTGTATGTGTAGACATCTGCTTTTGATGGATCATCAGTTTTTACTGGAAAAATGAAATGAAACATGAAATTAATGAGTTAATGGATGTGTCTCTCATGAGGATCTTTAACTGTACTCAGATCTGACAACCACAGGTCACTGCACATGGCAAAGTGAAATGTATAATCTTGGAGACCAGAAAGAGGGCACATCCCTTCGTGCATCCCACAAGCCCTAAACAGCTGCTGGTGCTAGGCGCTGTGCTAGGCTAAGCTAGGTAGATTAGTTACTTTTCTTGTTGCTGTGACAAAATACCTGACAAAAACAACTTAAGAGAGTTTATTTTGACTCACAGTTTGAGGGTGCAGCCCATTATGGTGGGGAAGTCTTGGCGGTAGGAGCTTGAGGCAGCTCATCATAATCCATCAGCAGTCAGGAAGTAAAGAACACTGTCCTAGCTTTCCCCTTTTTATGTAGTCCAGGACCCCAGTTCATGGAATAGCCCTGCCCATGTTTAGTGTGGGTCTTTTCACCTCACTTAACCTAATCAAGATAATCCTACACACACACACACGAAGCTAACTTAATCAAGATAAACCCTCACAAGCATGCCCAGAGGCTTGTCTCTTGGGTGATTCTAGAGCATGTCAAGTTGACAATATTAGCTATCACAGTAAGGGACTAGCAGGCTACCTCTGCCTATGACCTGTTTGCTATGTATTTATGTAGACATACAGTTTGTACTACATAGACCACTTGGTCAAAGCCCTGCAGAAGATGTCCCTCCATGAGCTCAGCATCCCGATCCTGCAGCTGGGCGTGCTCATTGCCGATGCCGTGGTAGAGAGCAAGAGCCTCGCAGACCTCTACCACCTGCGGTTTGTACCCTTCCTTTGCTTCCAGTGAAACAAGTGACTAGAGTGACAGTTTGTCCAAAACAACCTAAAGACAAACAACTTTAGATACTAATTTTGTAGCTGATTGTGCAAATAATAAATCTCCGAGTCTGATAATCCAAATAAATCAAAGTACTTGGATGTATCAATAGAATATCTTTTAAAAGGCCATCTGATCCTTAGAGAATGCCTTGTTTTAAGAAAATGCACACGGATGTATTTAGGGATGAAGGGACACTGTGCTTCTCCCCAAAGGGTCCAGGAAAAGAAGAGGATGACAAACAGAAGGTGGTGATGGGGCGGGTGGCGCACAGGTAATGCTTGGGAGAGTTCGCACGACCTTTCTGGAAGGCTGAAGTGATGTCCAAATGGAAGTGCTTTAAGTAAAGACTCAAAGTTGAGTTTCCTGCCGAAAGCTACGGCAGGCCTGGGCAGAGTCCGGCCAGGACCTGGCTATTATCTCCGGAGATACTCAAGAACATAAACATAGCAAAATATTTGAGCGAATGATGGGAAAATTCTACCTGAAATATGATAGCGTCAGCTATCAGTTATTTAGCTTTAAAAATTATCAAACCACCAAAGTATTCCTTAGTTTACCACCTCCAAAAAGCACACCAAATCCAACACTGCTTCCTTTGGTGATGGCTGTGTTTTGTGTGACAGCATGCTCCCCCCCCTCCGTCTTTCCTCACAGACTTGCACAGGTGTGTTCTGATCTGCGACTGTGCTTTGCAGCGGCTCACCATGAAGAGGTGGTCGGGCAGACATACATTGGGGACATGGAGCAGGCCAGGTGCGTTCAACTGTCACTTCTGGGCATGAGACCTCTCCTTCCAACAAGGTACAAGCCAGGATGACGAGGACCACTCTGAGGACCTCAAATGGCCCCAGTGATGTGATGCTACCTTGCTCTTGGCTGTGTTTCCCCTCAGCACCAGACCTTCTGTGACTGCTGGAGGTCTTGGGGGCTTACAACCTGAGGAGTAGCACCTGGGGACCAATGCACAGGGAGCTGTGTGAGTCTCCCTGATGGTTTTCATGGCAGTTTGAGGGACTGCTGAGCTGGTGAGCACTCAGGATAGGGAAGAGAGGGAAGGGAGGGAAGGGCAGGATGGGGAGAGGCTACCCCTCACCAGTCCCAGCCTCCTCCCAGGAGGTGCCAGGAGTGATGGTGCTGGGTGAGGCATACACTCACTTCTGGGTTCTTTAGTTACTCAAAGGCAGTTGTGATTGGCTGATAGTAGGCTGTCCATCAACAGAATTAACCAATTAAGGCATCTATAGCAATCCTTTTTAGATTCAGAGACCACCTAAGAATACACTGTCCTATTTTTGTTAATTTCTACAAGTGATTTCCCCTCCCTTACTGTATAAATGATGTTAGTTGTGCAAAGTTCAGAACATAAGTAAGAAGATGATAAAGTTCACAGCTGGACCTGTCCTTTGGCAATAACCCCCTTTGGTGTTTTAACATTATACATCTGATCATTTTCCCTATTACGGAAAAATAGATACTATAGAGATGTAGTTCTGCTGCATCTACGTCTTCTGTGCTCTGTGGTAAGAAATGTCTGCCTATGACCTCATTTCCACACTGTTAGCACCATCATGTGTCTGTATAGCCCTGGGCCGATCACTTGATCATGAATCCTGTCTCCTGGTACGAAAGGAGCACCCTGAGTCCTCCCTGCTCTCAGATGGCTTCCAGACGTGCAGTTGCCAAGGCTACAAGTGGCTCCTGTTCCTTCCTGTTCTTAGATTTACTCATGAGCAGTCATAGTGCAGTGTTGTAGGGGCTAAGGGTGGGCTATGGAAGGAGGAGGATGCCTGAGAGTGACAGGGGAGGTTTGTGTGCCAACACAACACAGTGAGCAGGACTGTAGACACAGAGAGGGGCTCCATTCTCCAGGCAAGTGGTCAGGGATGTCTGAGCAGGTGGGGTGAGCAAGCCTTTGGACCTGTGAGGGATCAGTATTGGGGCAGAAGTGTCAGAAGCCCTGATAGGAGGGGGCCCATGCCAGGCTGAGAGCTTTCAGAGGCATAAGATGAGCCCTAGGAGACACTGGCTCTCCTTCCATGGACCACTCTGGACTTGAGACGGTAAGTGGGCAGGATCTGGGGTTGATGGCTAGGAAGAAGGTGTACTTGTGGAGGGAGGCCCACCCTGCTACTTTGTAGGGGACCCTGAGTTCCAAGCAACTTTGACTTTCTGGAGGAGTGGTCTGATCTGGGTATATTGAGCTTGGAATGCATATTAAACTGTACATCACCATGCCAGATAGTTCAGAGAAAAGAGACTGCAGATGTGAATGTGGGAGCCAGACTGATGCCCAACTAGAGACTGTTTTGGTTGTGGACACATGTGAATCATAGCCTCTTGTGGCTGTAC